ACCTTACCCCGTACAGCAACTGGCACCACAAGCATGTGACGCCGGGACATGGAGTCCCACTTCATCAAGAGGCCCTGTCTGCACACCCAGGAACCGACCCGCGTTTCCCCGCCCTCGGGAACGTTAACCTTCCGACGTAGCGCGAGTAGGGAGCTGTCGGCCATTTGCAGACGGCCCCACTCGATGAGAGGCAATGCTAACAGCGAGTCCCTCCCCGTGGGGGCGTCGACCCCCGTAGTATCCGTGGCGGCTAGCACTACTTCCGCGGGGACATCGACAGAAGGTTTACACCGCGCCGATCCCAACTGACATGCGCATTCCGTACGCGTCGGCAACCGTGACAATGCATCCGCGTTCGAGTGGCGCAACCCCTTGCGGTAAATCGTCGTGAATTGGTAGTCCTGAAGGACCTCCAACCATCGGGACAATTGGCCCGATGGCTGCGCCACCCGCATAGCGTATTGGAGAGCCGCATGGTCCGTGCGAACCGTAAAGTGACGGCCATACATATACGGCCTGAATTGCTGTATAAAAAACACAATCGCCAGCAATTCACGCCGTGTCACGCAGTAGCGTTGTTCCGCGGGGGACAGAACCCTGCTACCGTAGGCGACCACCCGTTCGACCCCCCCGACCACCTGTGAGAGCACTCCCCCGATACCCGTGTTACTGGCATCCGTGTCGAGCACAAACGGTTGCGTGAAATCGGGGTAACACAAGGGGGGAGCCTGCACCAAGGCGTCACGAAGGGAGCAGAACACGGCCTCCTCCTCCGGCCCCCAGTGAAACCGCACCCCTTTAGCCGTCAAGGCGTGCAGGGGCCTGGCTATGGTGGCAAACTGTTTGACAAAACGACGGTAATAGGAGGCAAATCCTATGAAGCTGCGGACTTCAGTAACAGAGGTCGGTGTTGGCCATGAGCCGACGCATTGCGTCTTAGCAGGGTCCGTCGAGATCCCCGAACGGCTAACGATATGGCCCAAATACCTGACCGATTCCCGAAGCAGAAAACATTTAGCCGGTTTAAATTTAAGCTTCGCGGAACGCATCCTGAGAAACACTGCCCTCAGTCGCTGGAGGTGCTCCTCAAAAGTTCGGCTGAAAACGATGATGTCATCGAGGTAAATCAAACAGGTGTCCCATTGAAGGCCTGCCAAAACCAATTCCATGAGCCTCTGGAACGTGGCAGGAGCGGAATGTAAACCCATGGGCAATCGGTTGAACTCAAATAGGCCTCCCGGTGTCCGGAAAGCGGTTTTAGGTTTTGATTCGTCATCGAGGGGCAATTGCCAAAATCCCGAAAGCAAATCGAGCGTCGAAAAAAACTGTGCTCCTGCCAAGGCATCCAGCGACTCATCCATCCTGGGGAGCGGATACGCATCGGCCATTGATATTTTGTTTAGGCGGCGGAAATCAACACAGAACCGCAGGGATCCATCCTGTTTTTTAACCAAGACGATAGGAGCACCCCACGGACTGGAAGAGGGCGCAATGATGTCGGCCGCCAACATGTCATTTACTGCCGACTGCACATGCTCCTTCTCGGCTGGACTGAGCCGGAAGGGATTCTGTCGAATAGGGGCCGCGTCCCCAGTCTCTATGTGGTGGCGCAACAGGTCTGTGCAGCCAATGTCGTACTTGTGCCTGCTAAACACGTCAGCGAACTCGAGCAGCAAGCCCCTCAATGCACCCAACTGCACACTGGACAAGGTACTGGACCCGGCACACAACGCGTCCAACCACTCCGTCCCCTCCTCACTTTGGGGATGCGTATCGACATGTGAATCGGCGTGAGCAACGAGCTGTTCCTCGACGGGTAGCGGCGCGGCGTGAGCGAGCACCGTTCCCTGCGTAATCACGGCCGGCCGCGACCCCGTATTCAGGACCACAACGAACGGCTCACTGTCCCCCCTCACCATGGTCTGGGCCACCGCTAAGCCGAGGTCCCCTTTAGCCCTGTTAGACGGCCCCAATAGAACTCCCTGCGCCCCCGCATCCGCCCCCAGTTGTTTTCTCAACCGAAGGGGTACCAACATTTGCGATCCCGGGGGCACCCGTACAGTCCGGGTTGCCAGCGCCTGCACCGTCGCACAAGCCGTGCGTATCTTATTTGGACTCTTCAAAAACTCAACCCGCCGACCCGACGGAAGCTCAATGCAGGCCTGGTCTATGAGAATTTTTATGGGCATTTTAGACAGAAAGTCCGTGCCTAGTAAACAAGGAACGGCCAACGATGATGATACAAAAATAGGACCCGCCAATTTAATGTCGCCAATACAAATATTCGCCCGAATCTGGCCGATGATTCCCAAAGATCCCCCGTTTGCCGCGTAAAATGGTACGTCCACCGGCAGAAGTGGTCGACATTGTACGGGAAGAATATTATAAATAAGGTCCGAAATAATAGTGGCCGACGCACCCGTGTCCACGAGCACCCGGACCTCAACCCCGTCAATGTACCCCGTTACCACGGACGACCCGGCCGACGCAGCCACAATCCTGTGGGCCAATTCGGACCACTCGACTGCCTTCGGGCCGTACGCGGACCCCTCTCGCCGAACCGAACCCCCGGCGCCCATACACGGTCCCCCCACCGCTAAGCGGCGATCCGAACGTGCCGTGCGTGTGGACCGAGCGTGTGAGGTGCCGCGACTTGCCGGGTTCAGTTGGGATGTCTTGAGTCCCTGGTCGTCGTCCGGACGTGGTCCCGCGGTGCGTTGACGCGGGGCCCGGCACCCGGCCGCGACGTGGCCCCGAAGGCCGCAGTTGTAGCAGACGACGAGGGACGTCGTAGGTTTCGGTTGCTCCAGCTTGCGGGAGGAGCGTGTGGGCGAACGACCTCCCGGTCTCCACTCCCCCGGCCTCGAACCAGCGAAGGCCTCCTCCCGAGGCACAGCAGGCTGGGGTCCGCTGATCGTGGCGGCCGGTGCCCCGTTCTCCACCGATGCGCAGACGACCGTCGGCTTCCGCTGTAGGACCTCGTAAGCGTGGATACTCGTGGCAATCCCCAGGGAGCAGATGTCCATCTCGTCCGCCGTATTAATGGGAACTCCCAATCCGTGAGCCAGCGCCAGCAGCTGCTCCGTCACCATGGCGTCCTTCCCCTCCTTGTCCATGCGGGGAAAAGCTGAATCCGCCAGGGCGAGCAGCGCCGTGCGATAGGCGAGCGTTGTTTCTCCAACCACCTTCCGCCGATCGTAGAACTGGTGGCGACAGGTCGAGGGCGGCCCGAACACCTTGGCCAACAGGTGCAGCGCGGCCTGGAGCGTTGAGCGGGACGACCTCGGGGCAGACGTGAAGGCCGCAAGCGCGTCGTCGTCGAGCATCGCTGGCAGCGCGCGCAGGGCCGTGGTGTCGGACCACCCCGACATTTCTTGATGCGCGATGAACCGTCGCTGGAAGGCTCCCCAGTCGCCCCCGTCCGCCTTGAACACCGACAGCGCGGGCAATCGTTGCTGGAGAACTCGATCGTCGTCGTCGTCGTTGGAACGATTTTCCCGCGCGCTGCTGTGGTTGTAGAAAATGTCGGCTCCCTCTGCAGGCGCAAAATGGAGAGCTCCGGCGCTCGCCGATGACGCGGGCTGCGCTGTGTGGAGACCTCTGGCCACGTGGTGTCCGCGTTTCCCGCCAACCGGAGGCGGACCCTCAAAAATGGCGCCAACTCCCAAACTTTTGGCGCGAAACGCCTTATGGCGGGAACCCTCCAGCCGCGCCGCCTCTTCCAACCCCGCAGGCGTTCCACCGGCCGCTGGAACGGAGATCTCCGCCAAGATCGCAGCGGCGGCGAGCAGCAACTCCGCCAGGCGGGAGTGTGCGTCCTGCAGGCTGGTGTCGGAGGCGGGCGGAGCATCGGCCATTTCCGCGAAGTGCTGCATCGGCGGCAACTCCTCGTCTTCTCCTCCCGAGGGTGGTGTCACCGGTACGTCGTCGTCTCCCCGGTCTTGCACGTGGGAACGAGAAGTCTTCCTTGTGTCCATTCTCCTTGAAGACAGGTTTACTTCTGACGCCAGTTGTAAAGTAGTAACTCGGCAGGAGACGACTTCACGGGTAGCACACTCTTTATTTTCACCAACTTGTAGTTACACGGATGACTAACACCCTACTTCGTTACACGGGTGACCAACACCCACTTAGCTACACGGGTGACGGACACCCACTCGACTACAACTTCGTTACACGGGTGACCAACACCCACTTAGCTACACGGGTGACCAACACCCACTCAGCTACACGGGTGACCAACACCCACTCAGCTACACGGGTGACTAACACCCACTCAGCTACACGGGTGACCAACACCCACTCAGCTACACGGGTGACTAACACCCACTCAGCTACACGGGTGACCAACACCCACTCAGCTGTACTGACACGGGCTCTTACGCCCTGTAGCCTTCCGGGACACACCCAGCCGGGGTGCCCGTCTCGGCTCTGGGTACCACCGTCCCGACCCACACGGGCGTCGGACTACGGTCCCCCCAGTCTCGGCTCCGAGCCACACAGGGCCCCTACCTCCTCCACCCCGTCTTCGGTCTTCAACTGGTTAACACTGACCACGAGTGCTCTCGCGCGTCCCCCTTTATACCCCTCCTGCGGACGTCGCTGAGAGTACTCACTTATCTGACCAATCACTGCGCACTCGCTACGATCCTCTTTTCCCAGCTTGTGTGAGCGCGCCTCACCACCGGCGCGCGCGTCCCTGCCACGCCCACACCGCGTGCCCAACCCCGCGCCCCGTGATCCATCACTCCCGGCGCACGTCAATACCACCACTACATATGTATGTTGGACTTTCGCACAATACTTAGCCAACCATGCTAACCGCAGTGTGGTTATTGGACGAATGTATTGAGATCGTGTTAGTTGTGCTCATGCACTACTGTCAACGCAGCGAAAGCAGCAGCATCACCAGGTGCTGTGTTTAACTTTGCAGGTGAGTGGCTCCAATTGCAGCAGCGCTGAGGTCACGAGGGTGGCGGTGTGCGTTGTGTGTGCTGCAGGTGTTCAACGAAGAGAGCCTACCTCCACCGGACGATGCACCGACCTGGACAGAGCAGGCGACCTACGACCCAGGAACGTGGCCCAATCAGCAACAAGGTCGAACTTCAGATTAAACTGAAATGCAGTATTATTATTGCCTGTGACGTAAAACAATTGCCATCACCATGACCGTGCGCACGTAGCCTTAACTCGGAGTGTTCATCATGAAGTAAACTTTTTATTTTACCAAGTGAGGCTCACTGAGCTATATAGCTCTTTTTCAGAAACGACCTGGCCACAAATGATAGCCCAATGAAGTGGCTTATTATAGACGCTGTCTCCCCGACAGACCTGGTCTTCACCTGAGGACGGCTGCTTGCGTTGTGGCCGAAACGTCATGAGAATTGTATTTTATTATGTTTTATTTTTTATTATTTTATTACTTCCCTTCTACGTGACTTTACCGAAAGAACCAAGAAGATGAATCCCTGCAGTCACGAAAGCTTTAAATCGAAAAATTTGGCTTATTATAATTATGTGGACATTTATCGCGGCAAAATATTCTAAATGCATGTTTCTAAATGTGGAGGAAAAAGCCGGAGGACCTGGAGAAAAATCCACGCAACCACGGGGGGAGAACATACAATCTTCCACATATGCAGTAGTCAGGGTCAGGATCGAACCCACGATTTCCTCCATACCAGGCGAGGTAGTTAGCATCTCATCACAGTGGCAAGCTATTCATGCCTGTCCTTCGCAGCACAGAGTCAAGGTTGTGATGTTTTGATTGAATGGTGTTTTACTCTGCACGTTCATTAAAGCGCCAACATTTTCGTCAATACTTCTGCCCCAAAGGGTAACCAAAAAATATATTTCTAAAATAGAGATGTTTCAGGCAAGGACCCTCCTTTTCTAGCAGAATTGATTTACGAAGTGTTTTCAGCAGGTATTACGTAGCCGATTGTTTACGTGATGGATTACATTACCGATTAATTGGTTCCATGAATCCGATTAGAACATTTTGCTTACAGTTTACATAAGCAACTCTCACATGTGATGTTTAAACGTTTGTTATAAATACGTGATTTATTGCTAAATTGTGCAAGTAACTTTAGCAGTTCACACTGAAGTAATTTGTTCGCAGTTCTGAGTAACCTCAAACAGTGATTTTTTTTTTAAACACAACTTAAAAAAAAGTAACTGCTTTAAAAGATTTTACTTTCGTTTCACTGCTCATCTAACTCGTACTCGTGCACGAAAATAACCACATGTCGATACGTTTTAAAACTGCAATGCTTGTTGTTGCTGCTGTTGTGGTTGTTGTTGTCAATCATTACACAGCCTCTCGCCCGATCGCACCTGCAGCAGATTCCGACAGCTGGGAGGACAGCGATGGGGAGGGAGCGAAGGCCGGCTCGCAACGCGGGGCTCCCCAGGGCAGCCCCAGGCAGGGTCGCGCCAACGCCGCCTCCACCCTCCTGGGCCTCAACAGGTGCAAGTCGCCCACGGGAATCGGGACTTCTCACTCTACCCCCCCCCCCCCCCGCAAACTCCCTTCCACTGTATCGTGCTGTTCCTGGGGGCGTAGCAATGAGCCGGCCCCTCTGAGGTCGTGTGCTCACTAACCTGTAGACGTAGTGTCCCCCCTGAATGGGTTCGTAATAGCCGAGTCAGGGTACCAATCCAACCCCACCCACTTCTAAAGTCCTGAATTCACGTCACGTCGTCAATTCGTATCATGATCCCGTGACATCATTCGTAAGAGCAGGCTATTGGGTGCCAGCGTTGTCCAAGTTTGCCAAAAAAAAAATTAACAAATAAATTACTCGATTGCAATTATTGCACAGAGCGTTCATCTCCCGCGACTGTGAAAACTCGACAGGACCCAGCTGAAAGAGAGACTCGGTGAGGCTTTCTTGGGTCGATAAGCACAATCATAGTGATGGTGTGATGCAAGAGGTCATGGACAATATGAACACCTCTTATCTCATGTTAATTCAACTTGCCCAATTTCCTTTTATAGATTAATAGGCAAGGTGTACAGCAACTGAATATAACTGCATAGAGCAGCTCTATTGCCAGGCAACTCTGAGGTCCATGCTTTCTTCCCCATTGCTCCCATTAGGCTGGCGCTGCCAATGGGGAAGCTGAATTTGGACAACTACCTCCTGGGCAAGTGCACAGTGACCAGGACTGACAGGATCCCCTTGGTTGTAAGTTACACTTTCATTCACTCACTCACTCACTCGCATTTACTCAGACCAAGTGTATGTATCTTGATTTGAAGCTTTCGTGACTGCAGGAATCCATACTCTTTGGTTCTTTCGGTAAAGTCACGTAGGTAGAAAAAATAATATTTCACGACGTTTCGATCGCAAAAACAAGCGACCGTCTTCGGTGAGAGAATCAGACTGCTGTGGACGAGGCATTATGTAGACCCGAGGGTGGGGGGGGGGAGGGTTGCTGCATCGGGCAAGAGGGTGGGGCCAGCGATTGTGAGAGATGGGACTGTAGGGCATGTGAGCATGAGAGGGAAATCCAAAGGACATGTGAGCATGAGAGTGCAATCTAAAGAGTAAGTGTGTGTATGTATGTTCAACTTCTTTTGCACCGTACGTAGCCAGCTGTGCTAAACAGAGCTGCGGGGGAAGGACAACAAACGAAACAGAAAAAGCAGTTATAGAGAAATTAGTTTTCAATCTACAATTTAAAGTCCATCGCTCCAGTGGCATCCTAATATTGGAAGGAAGAGCGTTCCAGACGACCGCAAAAGCATTTAGTAACCATCTGTGTTTGATGGCTAATAAAGTACGCTTCTTCTGCAACAGAAACGTGGGTTAATTACCCTGTGTTTCCATGACCGCTTAATTGTGGGTCTAACTCCACCCATGCTGGCCCAAAAGAGCATCTGATTGGCCGGACAACGGGGGATAAATGGGTGCGGCATGTGTCTGGTTTGCCGACAACCGGTAGCAGCCGTGTCAATATCGGCCTGGATGGAGTAAGCTCATGAAGGATACTACTGGGCAGTTGAAGGCAGCCGTCTTCCAGCAACAACGGGAGGCGGAGGAGTGATGATCACAAGCACGAGTGGAGCGCCGGGCGGCTCAAGCGGTGTGGTGGCGCAGAGGGGAGTGCGAGTGGCACATTTTCCAGCCATCTTATTCAGTTAACCCAAAACACCTCGGCCTGTCCCGTGACCTCCTACCGGCCAGCCTTTGACACTTCAAGTGGCGTCAAAGTGCACCTATCCTGGCATAAATACCATCATGACATCGCCACCACTTGGCAAAGGACTGCAGTTGTTGCCATTGTTGATCTGCCTGTGTATGTGATTGCGTGTGCATATGTGTGTGCGTGCACAGATGGGTGAGTCGGGCCCTGTGTGGGAGACATCCTCCGATAATCTCGTCTGCGTCATCTCTTCACCAAAGAAATCCACCAAACTGCACGGCATGAAGAGCTTCATTGAGTACCAAATAACCCCCAACGTAAGCACTGGAGTGCTACTTGACAGCGACACACTCTTTTTAAGACACCGATCCCTCTTTTTCCACTGGCACATCCGAGCTGAGCCAACGTGCCACCCTCACAATATTGGTGGATTCCCACCGGCTATTTGCCATTCCGATTTGGAACCAAACTATGATGCGCTGGCCTCACAAGACATCTGAGTCTGACTCGGGGGGCCAAGCGGGGCCAGAAGCGGGGATAATTACACGTTTGGGTTGCGCAGTGGCGAGATGTCAGTTACCTCGCCTGGTTTACAGGAGGTCATGGCTTCGATCCCAACCCTGATGCCTGTATATTTGGAGTTTGCGTGTTCTTTTCGTGGTCGCGTGGATTTTTATCCAGGTCCTGTGGGTTTTCCCTTCACGTTTAATGCGTTCAGAGTATTTGGCTACTGCTATAAATGTCCACGTGATAAGCCACTTCATTGGGTTATCATTTCTGGCCAGGTTGCGTTTGGAAAAGAGCTATATAGCTCAGTGGGCCTTACCTGCTTACATAAAAAATAGTATCTCGTATATTGTGTGTGACGTCAGCGGCACGGCTCACTTCTGCAGTGGAAAAACAGCCTTGCATCTCGTGAGCCGTGCCAGGCTGGCTCGACACGGCCCTGGCGTGGCTCGTTTGAATAGTGAAAAGTAGATATTAGTTCAGCTGTGCCGAGACGAGAGTCATGCTAGATATGAAAACTAAAGTCCACTATTAGGTCAACCCATGGCCTTGAACTCAGGCGTCAAGGTGCCAGCTGAATGATTTGACATAGACAGACCACCCTTCTTAGATACATCCATCACTGGGTTTTAAACCCATTACTTTAGGAGCTGATGGCTTCTTAACCTGCGCCTTAGAGACACCCAGCCACAGTGGACAAACCCAGGCCGAACGAGGTGTGGACCTGCCTCTAGCGCAAAAATGTAAAACATATTACCTCGGTATCTTGACACGGACATTATGTATGCATGTATGTTGAACTTATTTCGCACAGTACGTAGCCAACCATGCTAATCACTGAGCCCTAGAGCTGTAACCTCGGTCTTCAGGAGGTGCTGCCTAACTGCACTGACTCTGACCCCGTGCCTGACCCTGCAGGACAGCCTAAAACCCGTGTCCCGACGCTACAAACATTTTGATTGGCTGCTGGAGCGGCTGATAAGCAAGTTCTCGGCTATGGTTCTCATCCCGTCACTCCCCGACAAGCAGGTGGCAGGTGAGTGCTCTCAGCATGCCTCTTGTTCTCGGCATGTCATGATCATCATCATCATCTGTGAAACGATTATGAAAAGAATGAGAAAAGAAATCGTACAATAAAACATCAAATGACTGACAAGGTCAGACTAAAGCAATGGGAGCGTCAGCTCGGGATGGGTGACCCCTCCGAGGTTCCGCACACCGCCCCCGCAAGGTTTCACTCGGCACGACGAGCCGGAGCCACGTCGACCCTGCCCCCTCCCCCCTGTGCCCCCCCCCCGTGCCCCCCCAATCTCCACCTAATCTGCCGCCACATCCCGACACGCAGGGCGCTTTGAGGACGACTTTGTGGCATTGAGGATGGAGCGGCTGCAGGCGTGGATGTCGCGCATCTGCCTTCACCCCATCCTGTCCTCAAGCTCCGTCTTCCAGCATTTCCTGCACGCCGCCACCGAGAAGGTCGCCCGGGGCTAGGGGTGCCGCACGACACCAGAGCCACCACAATTGCGTCGTCCGTTGGGTTGAATTATTGTCATGTTATCATTATCGTTACTCATTTAACTTTTTTATCAGCCACACTCCAAAGTATGCATTCATTAAAATGTGAACTCTACCTGTTTCGTCTGTACGGGACAGAGTGTTGCCCCCTCGCGCGCCTGGTCTTTCTACGGGCACTCTGGTTTTATCCCACATGTACACACTCGATAAGTGACCGATAACACCTTCACAAAGCTTGGGCAATTGTTGGTGCCAGCTCACCGTGTGGCTGCTGCCTTCCTTGCGCCTCCGAAAACTGCGTCGGCGGCGTCGAACTTGTTATCAAAGGACTGTTTCACTGACCGCATGACCTCTTATGGCATCATTGGCAAAGGCTGCTCTCGCCGTCGTTCCGGTTTCGTGAGTGATTTGTTCGATCTGAGTGTTGTTGGGGGGCGGGGGGGGCGGCCACGGGAGCGGCGCCGTTCCTGCGTGGTCTCGTAATCCGCTTCGACCATCGGCCGCCGACTCAAGTGCGCGGCATTGCCAGGGTTTTGCGCGTCGAGGCGGCGGGCAACGCATTCCAAATAACGAACTTCCGTCTCCTTTCAATTATCAGACGTTGCTATAGAAAGCTATTCTCCAGCAGCACCCTCATGGCAAGGCGCTGCTCAGTACATACTATGCCTGTCTTCGATAGACACCCACCCCCAAGGCTGTTGGAGGTGCGTTTGCCATCCATCACAGTCATTTAGCCCATGAGTCTTGGGGCCTGTCCAATGACTCTGTGCCAGCGAGCCTTTGACATCTCGGCACACTGAGTTAGAGTCAAGCCCCTTAAGCCAGATTGACATCTGAGTCGTCAGTTGTACAACTTAGTTGCATGCAACTGAATTGCTTATGTGTGAACGCCTCTGCAACTGGTTGTGAGCAGTTGTGTAACGAGTTGCTCACAAGTTGAGGAAGATTAAATTTCCAAGCATTGATTTGCTCAGCGATCTGGTTGTGCAGGTGTGGATCTGGCTTTGGGTGAGTTAATTCCATCTAATAAATTGATAGGTGGTTGTTGAAATTGAAATATCAACTTTACATAAACCAGCTCCTTGAGACGTATGCTTGTAAACCTACAGAATGCACCACGACGACAAAGACGATAATGTTGATGATGATGATGATGTCGGTGACGAAGTGGTTTCTCTTTACATGTGTTCACCACCAGGAGTGGAAGGAAGGCAAGAGACGTGCGGAGAAGGATGACGCAGTCGGAGGAGCGATATTCTCTAAACTTGAAATGTTCAACGCCGTGGAATTCCACGCAGATGAGATGTGAGTCAGACCCTGCGGGAACACTGTGATCACTACAGGGAGACAATTAAGTCCACGGGCTGGTGGAATCTCTCAAGGAAGGTTTTCCGTGAGCCCCCCCCCCCCCCCCCCCCCCCGTTCAAACGGGGCAACCGGTCTGGCAGCCTGAACCTCACGGGAGCCTCGTCGGTAAAACATGATCTTGGGATTTGGGAAACGTTAATCTTTGCAAGGAAGTGGAGCGGTTGTGCAATGGCCAATGCACCGTACTATGAAAACAATGATCTGAATTAAATTCCGGACCACGGCTAACAGACAGCTAGTGACATTAAATTGGTCCAGGTCTCCACCTTCACCAATCTGCATTGACCAGCGTATAGAAGTATGGTTAAGCAACTCCAATGACCAACATGGCATGGGAAGCGCTGGCATTAAAAAATGAATTCCTTTTTGAATATTAATCCTTCTGCCAATTAATTGATTTTCTTTTTGGAAATTAAAAAAAACTCCCAGGTATCTTTTTGGTTTTATAATTCACCGGCACAGTCGATAATCTCCTCGTGTGCATTATCACCGCACACATCTCAACATTTTATTTATTTTTTTGCAGCTGCACCCGATTCAATAGCCGAATGGCTCACAGGGCTATACCTAATAAATGAACTTGAATGAAATAGCATTTTTTTTATCAAGAACAACAAAGTCCTTTCAAGAACAACAAAGTTATTTCATTGCTCGGTTTACGAAAATAAAACACAACAGCACTCTACTGCCTAAGATTTTCGCGGTTGTGCTCTACAGCTCTCCGATAGGTTTTCGGCTTGCCCGCGTGTTGTTTGGCATACGTGTGCTGGCAGAGACAAAATGACCGCCGTGCCGTGTGCTTTGTGTGTTTTGCAGGGAGAAAAGGGTAGATAATTTCGGGAAGTTTTTCCGTTCAGCGGACGACAGCGTGAAGCAGCTGCTCGCCATTGGAAACGTGCACTATCGCCGATGCACCACAGGTGCTCCAGACGCCGTGACTGGGCCGTTGTGCGCAGGGTGTGGGCACGTGTGTTCCCGCAGGCTGCGATACCGGGCAGTCTTGGTATAATGTGACTTGTGGCTGCATCTGCAGCATCAAAGCTACGCCGCCTGCTGCGCATATTTAATTCTATGCTTCTAGCACCTTAAATCAACAGAGAAGTTTAACCTCTCTAAGCCCTGCCCCCTTACTCTTTAATCCCCACCCCTTCCTGATTAGGCTCCACCTATTCCTCTTTGGGCTCCTTTCCTTTTTAGGACCCGCCTCTTATTCTCTAGGCCCTGCCTCTATCTGTTTAGACCCCACCTCTTCTCCCCAGACAGGGGTTTTTGGACTTGTTTGGGTAATGGTGTGGGTTGTGGAAGGGGAGTGGGAGTGTGCTTGCATGGCAGTAGGAGGTAGGGACAGGAGCTAGTGGTAGATGGGGACAATAGGCGTAGGGGTGCGGTGGCTTCCCGATGACCAAAATCCCTCTTAGAGCAGCAATGTAATCATTGTTGATGTGTCTGGGTAGCTGGCTCATGTTGGCACTAATGCTGATCGCCCGTGTCTAAGCTCTTGAGCCAGCGCCACTGAGAGTCGGGTTCTGAATTTTCCAGTGGTGAAATTTAATTCTCAACTGTGGTCATTTCCTTTCTCTTGACTTGATCACCAATTAAATGCACTCAAGTTCACATGTAAGAGTATATGTATTATATGTGGCCAGGTAGTTCAGTGGTAGAGCAAGCCAAGGCCGTAATTATAATATATATTTTATTGGGGGGGACACATCCCCCCCAATATTCAAATATGCTCAAAATGTCCCCCTCAATATATTGCTATAAAATAGATTCCTGTTTATATGATTGTAGTTATGCTTGTACTTTATTAATCCCTAATCTCTGCCATTACATACAATGAAACAAGAAGAGGTAAAAAAGTAAAAACAGAACAATGTAATACAATACACTATAAGACATTATTGTAAAAAAATCATTAAAAAGTCCATCCCATGTGTTAGTGAATTTTTTTAGATCTTAGGCAGGAAATTCGTTTTCAAATTAAAAATTTTTCTGGGGGGGGGACCCCCAGACCCCCTGGAAGATTTGGTTCCACCCAATGTTGACTCCATGGCTACGGCCTTGGAGCAAGCGGCTCGGAATTGGAAGGTTGCTAGTTCAATTCCTGGTTGGCAGGAGTTGACTCATCCCATCATTCCTCTTGGGTCGATAAATAGAAACCACTTGGTGATGAGGTTAACAATGGTTAACCCTATGGATTAGACTCGCCCACGCCAGAGGAATGTGGAATGTCCATTATTGTATTGGTGGGCTGTAAGCTGGATATGAGCACCATCCCCAGTGTTCATTTGAGCAGGAAATCACTTCGATTTTGATATATTAACTTGATTTGTACTACATTTATCCGCTCCAGGCTCCGTGAGGTTTGTGTTAGCACAAGATAGATGCGCTATAAAGCCTTCACAGCATGCAGGGGGTAATGGTCTGTGGGTGTTTGAAGACACCCCTTGAAATGTATTTATTTTGAACTTCTTTCGCACTGCACGTACCCAACCTTGCTAAGCGAAGGTGCAGGGGGAGGACAGCAAACTAAACAGAAAAATAAGTTCTAAAAATTTTTTGTTTTTTATCTATATTCAAAAGTGCATAGCTCCAGTGGCTTCTTAATATGGGAAGGAAAAGCGTTCCAGACGGCCGCAGAAGTACATTTGAAAACACGCGATGAGGTGATCGTCTACGTTTGGTGGCTAGCTAGAATCCGTTGCGAGTATGACCGGAGTTCACGTGATGGCTTATGCTCCTTGACGAGATCAACAAGGTATTGTGGTTCATTTGTAGCAAGTACTTTGTGTAATGAGTGCGACCCACTCTTGCGATGCGAGTCGCCGCAGCCGGTTTAGGGATCACCGGACTCTCCGTGCGGATGGAGAGTTCTTAGTATTCTACTTATGCTTTGACGTGTCATCTTCCAGAACTTCCCAAGGATTATCGAGGTCTGGGGAAAGCCTTGAAGGACGTTTCACAGTCTTTCAGCATGAGCAACCATCACGGTAAGCACCGTACTACTCGGGACCAACTAATGTGCGTTCACAAACACTGTCAAAAACTTCAAAGGTAGAGGTGCAGCCCTGCAATTGTTCGCTCGAGCAAAGTGCTGACGGAAGGGCCTCCACCAGAGGGCGTTACAGAGAGGCCCTGGTAGAAGGTATTTGGCCTACTCTTCCAGGCTGGCAAGTACGTCTTGCAAGGGGTGAGAGTAGTTGCACTGTAGCCCATCATACGCGACCTGCCGATCGATTGTGTTGTTCCCCATTGATGCTGCTGGGTGGACAGAGGCATTGGAGGCGAGGTGGCGATTTAAAAAAAGGTGAACTATTGTATGAACTGCCGCGCCGGGAGATGGAACCGTAATAATTAAGAGTTTATTTGCAGTTACTGCACGCTAGTTGACGTTTCACGGCGCGTGGCAAACTTCAGTCCCACAAACCCAGTGGATTTTGACTAGAGTGTCAGGCTTATCAATCGCCCACTATCCGGGAACGTGTTAATATTTTGTGGGGGGCTATGCATGGCTGTGATCCAGCACTGTGGAGGCTGCGATGGTTGGTGGATCACGCACATGTGGAACTCATTTCCGTACTCTGGTTCTCCAGGAGAAGGCAGTACGGCAAGTCGAATAATCTCCATCTGTTTCGATCTGTACAGGGACACGAGGGGATTGCCCCCTCGCCCGCGTAGGTTTTCTCCGGGTTGCTCTGGTTTCCTCCAATTTGTATAAACACTGGCTGAAGATGTCTTCACGTAAAAGAAAACCGAATGTAGAAGGACCCTCTTGTAAAATATTCCTTGGACTCGGTGTGGCTTAGCTGGACAAATATGTAATAGTAATAATTTTTTATATTTTGTATAATAGTAATTCGTCGCGCATAGTCTGCGTAGGACCGTTGCGCCAAGCGTGTGACCTCTTGCGACAGCGTTCGCATAAACTGCTCTTGGCTGCCATATCCGGCGTCTCGAGTGATTTGTTCGATCCACGGATCACGAGTGGGGGGGTCGGGGGTGACCACGGGGAGGGTGGCGCCATTCACTTCGAACGTCGACCGCCAACTGAAGTTGGGCAATTTGCTGCAGGAGTTTACGCATCAAGACGGGGCGACGTGTCCACAAAGTGACGGCCGTCTCTCTCGAACTAAGCTCTCGATCACTAGGAGACCGGTAGCAGATGCAATGGTGACATTCCTGTCGAACCATCAGATGCAATAATAATAATATATAATAATACCAATAATAATTATTAGAAGGTTATGTGAATCAATTGCAATGTGTGTCTGCTGTGATCTCCGCACCCTAATATTGACTCAAACTGTTCTCAAGCTGAGGGGTCGCTCACCAACGCGCTCTCTTTTGCCGGGAAGACCTACACCGAGATTGGGGACCTCGTGGCCAGCCAGGTGAGATTGTGGCTTAAAGTTATCGCTGCTGCTAATCAGTGGCTTAGCGATAGCGTTAATGTCAACGCACTATGTACACATGCACAGTTGACCATCGGTTATCCGGCACGCGATTATCCAGCTGCTTCCAACGTTATCCGGCACCGTGTACTTGACAAAAAAAATAGCTTCGCTTGATTTTAGTGTCAAATATATACGGTACATTATACACTACACTTACCAACTTAAACGATGAAAATACTGCAGGTATATACATTTTTCATGACGAAAAACTACAGAAATAACACAAAATATTCAGCGCGATGCGGCGAAAAGTGCATGTAATTCAGCGTTCGCCGGAGCACCGGTCTGAAGGCTATACCAGTCCAGCGATTGTCAAACACATGTTGTTGAAACAAGAGCGTAGTACATCACCCCATGCAAAGTCTTTTTGAGATTGGACTGCTAAGTACGGCACAGTAAATACAGTAACTTTTTACAGTAAGATATTTTTTGTCTATTTGTATGTTTATTTATGCCAATTGCATATGGTAAACAAAATTAAAACATCTACAACACCTAAAATCATAATGTTACGCAAGAATGTGCAAAAATAATCTATTTTAAATCGTGATGCGATTATCCGGCGTTTTTGAAAATCCGGCACCCCCTTCATCCCAAAGCCGCTAGATAATCGATGGTTTACTGTATTTTTTCGATTTAAAGCTTTCGTGAACTTCTTTGGCACCGTACATCGCCAACTGCTAATCAGGTGCGGGGTAAGGACACAAAACTATACACAAAGAGCAGTTCTAAGGAAATTAGTTTTCAATCTAGATTTTAAAGCGCATAGCTCCAGTAGCTTCCTAATATCAGAAGGAAGAGCTTTCCAGAGGGCCGCAGAAGCGCATCTGAAAGCGCCATGCGAAGTGGTGGCCGTCTTTGTTCGATGGCTTGTTAGAATGCAACAAAGTAGATAAGCAGATAATACGTCTACTTGGAAAATAAAATAAAAATCAGCAAACTCCTCCACCCCACGGCCTTCTTGGAGTGCATAATTACAGCGACATTGAGTCAGCCCTGTGCAAGCAAAACTCTAGAACGGTCCAGAGCTTTGCTTGTCTTGAATCAACGCTGCAGAATTTGTGCACTCCCAAAAGGCTGTGTGAATAATGGGTTGTGTAAAAAAAAATACCGTAATTAGTTTTACGTGGAGAGACAGATATATGAAGGAGACGCATGTCTGCTTGTTACGTATATTCTTCACAATAATGGGAATGATTGTTAGATTGGAATGTAGCTCTGTGTCGGTGCTCGTGTAAGTGATGGCATTAGAGTTATAGGTGATACGAACATAAGGGCTAGTTTTGGGTGTCGGTGTTGTCATTTTCAGGTTAGTGCTATGATTATCGTCAGAAAAACGACATTGCTTGCATTGTGGTTATGGTTATTGTTTTATTGTTGGTGTAAATGCTATTGCTGAGGCTATTGTGGGCCATTAGGTTGTTGTTTGGGTTAGCATTATGGTTACAATTCCATTGTCAAGAGTTGTATAAAATATTGCGAGAGACAGCGACGGCTTGGTGAGCCCTTCATCCAGCTGATGATGATTCTTCACGCGGATATGGTTTGAGTCGCGATCGTAAATTGAGCATCCACATTTCAAGTGGAGTTGATGTCTTTAGGAGAAGTGAGTGATGATGTCCTGATATAATAGCAAGCGCACTTGTGGTGTGTTTCTCCAGTCCAAGATGGATCTCCGTCTCTTCCTGGACTCAAGCTGTGAATACAAGAGTCTCCTCTCTGGCTTTCCTGAAATTCTCTCCATTCAAAAGGTGCTTTTCTCCCACAGGAATGATCATTTTAGCTGGGCGGTGGTGGCTATGCACGCCTGTGTTCCAGCACCGTGGAGGTGGGGGTTGGTAGATCACAGACAGATGTTGCGGAATTACCTTCCTATGGGAGTTGAGGTGCCATTCCCTGGCTTGCCAGGAGAAAGCGGTACAGCAAGTGTGAACTAAAAGCTTCTGTTCAATCTACATGGGATAGAGTTTCGATTTAAAGCTTTCGTGACTGCAGGGATTCATCTTCTTGTTTCTTTCGGTAAAGTCACGTAGAAGGGAAGTAATAAAATAATAAAAATAAAACATAATAAAACAATTCTCACGACGTTTCGGCTACAACGCAAGCAGCCGTCTTCAGGTGAAGAATGAGACACTACCAAACTAGGAGCTTATATATAAGCTGCATTGGGGGTTGAAGAGCGCCTTAACAAAAAGAATGTGCATGTGAAGAGGGATTTAGCATATTCATGGAAAATGCGTAGGCGTTGGGCGGGGGGGTGTCAAAGTCATATTATGCCCATGCATTATGCAGGATCAGCAGCAACCAAGGGGGGTGCAGGGATTAGCAGTAACAAAGGAAAGGAATGTTAATGATATGTAGCTGCAGTTACTCAACAACCACGTAGAAAACTAAAGTATAAACTACATAAAAAAAAAACTAAAGTATAAACTGCATCGCACCATCAGTATACTTACTATACTCTATAATAAGCTGAGTTACTAACAGCAAGTAATACATTACAATTTTACCTCGTAAAAATTCTATAATATGCTTCCATCTAAACCTTATTCTCTTACATCACACGAGCATATACCGTACTATATACTGCCATAGATAAACCCAACATTAAATTATATACTGTATTGCTGTAAACCAACCTATATCTTATACATTTAATATCACACTATGTATTATTCTACACACCCTAATGTGTATCGAAATGGTTTATTACGTCCTTCCAATGATTGCTGAGCCAGAATCCATCTTCTCGGTTAAAATTGTCTCTGTGTTTGTATATGTGGATCGCCTCATCATGAGAGATTCGTTCATGAGGCGATCCACATATACAAACACAGAGACAATTTTAACCGAGAAGATGGATTCTGGCTCAGCAATCATTGGAAGGACGTAATAAACCATTTCGATACACATTAGGGTGTGTAGAATAATACATAGTGTGATATTAAATGTATAAGATATAGGTTGGTTTACAGCAATACAGTATATAATTTAATGTTGGGTTTATCTATGGCAGTATATAGTACGGTATATGCTCGTGTGATGTAAGAGAATAAGGTTTAGATGGAAGCATATTATAGAATTTTTACGAGGTAAAATTGTAATGTATTACTTGCTGTTAGTAACTCAGCTTATTATAGAGTATAGTAAGTATACTGATGGTGCGATGCAGTTTATACTTTAGTTTTTTTTTTTATGTAGTTTATACTTTAGTTTTCTACGTGGTTGTTGAGTAACTGCAGCTACATATCATTAACATTCCTTTCCTTTGTTACTGCTAATCCCTGCACCCCCCTTGGTTGCTGCTGATCCTGCATAATGCATGGGCATAATATGACTTTGACACCCCCCCGCCCAACGCCTACGCATTTTCCATGAATATGCTAAATCCCTCTTCACATGCACATTCTTTTTGTTAAGGCGCTCTTCAACCCCCAATGCAGCTTATATATAAGCTCCTAGTTTGGTAGTGTCTCATTCTTCACCTGAAGACGGCTGCTTGCGTTGTAGCCGAAACGTCGTGAGAATTGTTTTATTATGTTTTATTTTTATTATTTTATTACTTCCCTTCTACGTGACTTTACCGAAAGAAACAAGAAGATGGGATAGAGTGTTACCCCCTCGCATGCATGGGTTTTCTGCAGGTGGTCCAGTTTCCTCCCATATTTAAACACTCATTAATTGGCTGACAACATTTAGATTTAAAGCTTTCGTGACTGCAGGGATTCATCTTCTTGGTTCTTTCGGTAAAGTCACGTAGAAGGGAAGTAATAAAATAATAATAAGTATAACCCGTAAAAACAAAGTTTTTCACTATAAATCCTTTATATGCGTGGCAGCGAACTTAATATAAAGGATTTAAAAAATATATATGCCTGTGGAGGACGCGGGGATCGATCCCGCGACCTTTGGCATGGGAAGCGAGGGCGCTACCAACTGCGCTACTCCGCCACGGCCTGTGGAGGGGTTACGCTCTGGGCTCTTATACTGTGACGTTCAGCCAAAGTGATGAATGAATATATGTAAAATATTTTTTTTTTGCCTAAAAAGTATAAAATTTTGGGAATTTTTTTTCATTAATTGTCTGGCACAACGAGTCTGTGTGGAAAATGTCAGCTCGATTGGATCACGGGAAGTGGGTTAAAAAACGACCGAAAGATTTGCATGGTCATAAGCAAGCAAGCACGCAAGCAAGCAAGCGAACTTAATATAAAGGATTTAAAAATAAAACAATTCTCACGACGTTTCGGCCACAACGCAAGCAGCCGTCCTCAGGTGAAAACCTGAGGACGGCTGCTTATTATGTTTTATTTTTATTATTTTATTACTTCCCTTCTACGTGACTTTACCGAAAGAACCAAGAAGATGGCTGACAACATCTTAATATATAGGGGACCGCAGAACTTGGGGGGAGGTGTATTTGGCACTGGCTCACCGAGAGTGAGTGACTACCACGCAGCGCGGTACAAGTTAAAATTATTATTTCTTTGTCGACCTTTGACGACCTTGCTGACTCTCAAGACTCCCTCGCTTGGGATGTTTGGCCATTTCCACGTTGATTCTATTTATATATGGAAGGAAATTGGAGTTTGCAGAGAGATTCTAGATTTGAAGCTTTCGTGACTGCAAGGATTTGTACTCTTAGGTTTTTTCGGTAAAGTCACGTAGGTAAAAATAAATAATAATAAATAAAAATAATAGAAGTAACAATAGAAATAAAATTATAAATCACGACGTTTCGGAGGCAACACAAGTCTCCGTCATCAGGTGGGACCGTCACAGCTAAATTTACTGTATCAAGTGAGGCAAAATTCCAAGAGACAAGCTCTTAAATACAAGTCCGTGTATACAAAGGAAGAACACTCCACCTGCACACAAACTTACTTAACTTCCTCGCAGACGCGTGTACCATTACCTTCATCATAAAAAAATGTTTACTTCTCATCAACATTGAGCAGCTAACCCTGATTTGATCTAAAAGAGCAATGAGCGTCCACACGTCTGCTGGTACCACACGGCGGCCTCGTGAAACGCCGCCTCTACAGCGGCCTTCCGCCAGGCTGTGTGGCCACGACTGGTGGTGCTGGAGTGGCTGGATGTGAATTACCTCGCCAGGTAGACAGGAGGTCGTTGGTTTTCGATCCCGACCCTGCATGCTCTTATTTGGTCGCGTGGATTTTTTTTGACGGGTCCTCCGGTTTTTCCCTTCGCATTTAGAGACATGCGTTTTTGAGTATTTGGCTGCTATACATTTCCACGTAATGATAAGCCACTTCGTTCTGAAAAAAGAGCTACATAGCTGAGTGGGCCTTACCTGGTAAAATAAAATTAGTTTAGTTCTAGTTTTTAGTCTTGCAGGTCACCGCCGCCGGGCCAAATATCCGCAAGGCAATGCCAACGCCAATGCCGTGTGCTTTGTCCCCGCCGTGGCGTGGTTGCCGCCTCGGCCGTCCGGCAGGCGGGACTCGACAAGATCAAGGAGTGCGACCGGCTGATCCAGATTAACAAGATGGCCGCCGGAGAGAAGGACGGAGTTGTGCAGAGAGTGCACGTCATGTCGCTCGGCCTGCAGGGTGAGGACGAGCACGCGCCCCATCGCCTCCTCCGCCCCCCTCCACCAGACACCAAAGACAAAGATCCCCGTATAGCCTTATCAGACTGTTGGGGCAAGTGCTGTTAGCGAGCACCTATGAAGGCCCGGAACGGCACACTTTGGGGTGGGTGGCCAGCACCATACCCGGCCGCCCTTGCCGCCCTAGTGGCGATGTTTATACACTGCACCAGGTAGTTATTTGAGGCTGAGTCTACCTAGGGGAGGTCCAGGATCGGTTAAGATATTCGTCACCGATGTTGGCCGTGAGCGGGAATCAAACTCGGGTTGCGGGTTTGTAGCACAGCGCACTAACCGCTCACCGGACACCACCACCGCCCCTCTACCCCTCAATGAGATTTTCATACCATGTGCGAAAAAAGTTTTGCTGGCTGGCTGGTGCGGGGTGGTGCTGTCACTGTGCACATCTGCGCCATGACGTTGCCCGCATCTCGCGGTGTTGAGCCAGGTTCGTAGGTCATCGTGAAGATGACCTAATATAAGCAACAATTTACTACAGAAGAGTGTTGTTAATCGAGACTTGCCCAATAGAAACCCGGCCTTATTGATGGAAGTGTTGTACAAAACTTGGCCATAACAAACCAAGGATAATGGGCAAGCCTTCTCAGCCAAGCAGATAACCTCACTCGCCGTGCACGCCGCTCCCGCAGTCGACATCATCACGCGTGACCTACTGACATCATCACGCGTGACATACCGATATTATCTCCAATTCAAAAACTGTCAGGGGCAGGAGGGGGGAAGGTCGGGCAAACGCATTTTTGGAAATCTTCACAGGATCCACGCACACGCATCTCGCCGATATTTCTTCCTTTGCGTTAACTTTGGAAGGGGGGGCCCCCTACCTTGCCGTTGCAGCCGAGGTCAACAACTTTCACGAGAGCCGCATCCGCGACTACAAGGAGAGCGTGCGCCAGCTGCTCTACAATCAGATCCAGATGCACCAGAAGGCAAGTGTCTCCCCTGCCACAGCCCAGAATGCAACACGCCGCCGTTTCGGCAGCCTCGGAGACCAGCGCGCGAGGGCTGCCGGTGCCGCTGCGTTCCCCCGGCGGTAGCGAACCCGGCCCAGTGATGTGGCATAACGATCGATTGGATGCGATCCTGCAGCAAATTATTTATCGATCGCATCGTTGTCGTTGCGTCGTCGTCGCGCCTTGCAATCGGACGCGCTGTGCTGTTGCACGCTTTTTTTTCTCGCCCGATTATTGAGCCGGGTCATCGTCACAATCCAACGGTAATCCAATTGAGTGAACGAGTTAGTATTGTGTGGCAACACCGATCACGTGCATACGAGTGTACGGAGAGCGGTTGTTGCAGTGGTTAGCGTGATGCGCTACGAACTCAGCGAACTTAATCGATCATGTTCTCGAACTCGCAGAATTGCATTCGATTGCATTGCACTCGTTGCATAAAGTGTTTCATCTCAGGTGACCGACGCAACGCAAACTAGTGCAATCCAGTCTCAACCCACAGCGGTTGCAATGAAATTGCACATTTGCATCACAGCCTTTAATCAAACGAAGATCCATAACACCTGGCGACCTGGTCTCGATTCCCAGCCACAGTTGACATCAAGTGGCGAAGTGAGATCTAAATAAGTCCCAGGCCACCCCATTCACCAACCCACCACTGAACAGCATCGTCGACACAGCATGGAGAGGGCAGTCATCCAGCAGTGGATTTTGAAAGGCTGTGTAATGTTATTAATATGCCCTAAAGGGAGAGAAAAAATGATTGCGAATATTTCGGGAAATGCTCCTTCTCCATAGCAAAGAAGAAGGTCCACTGCCCGAAACGTCACCTTTTATATTTATATATAAATATTTATATAGAATATGTTTAGTTTTATATGCGAGTGTTGTCATTCGTGCAAATTGCATCTCTCACAATCGCTGAGGGACAGCAAATGAGCGGAAAGGCGGCAAGCCTTTCCTCTATATATGCATGTTAAGATTTTATTAAGCCAACCAATGAATGTTATATTTATTTATATCTGTGAAGCCAACACGCCGCTTGCATGTGTTTCAGCACGGCTGTACCACTCGACGTTACCTTGTAGGATTGCTTGATTGCTGGGAGCTGCAGTGGTGAGATGTTAACTACCTCGCCTGGCATGCTGCGGCATGTGGATTCGATCCCGACCCTGATGCCTGTTGTATATTTGGAGTTTGCGTGTCTATCTCCACGTGGTCGTGTGGATATTTCTCCGGGTCCTCCAGTTTTTCCCTCCGCATTTCGAAACATGTGTTTAGAGAATTTGGCTTCTATAAACTTACAATTGATAAGCAACTTCGTTGAGCTATCATTTGTGATCAGCTCAGTGGGCCTTACCTGCTAAAATAAAAATGGTTTAAACAGTTTACAATAGCATTTTGGCACATGGTTTCCGTGTCACTGAACTGATGATGACAACGGTTATTTTTTTGACACAGATCGCCGAGATGATGAGAGAAGCCTACATGCGGTTCGAATTTGAATCCCAGTGAAGACGAAGACAACGTGAAGTCGCCCTCTTTATTTTTGGACCGTTATCCTGGCTTGCAGTAATTTTTCCATAAACAACCCAACGTTGATAAGAAGAAGAAAGTTACACCAGGCTTTCACCAGTTGTCGGTTTCTGGTGAGAATAAGAGCTCTTTATATTAGTTCTAAATTGTTGGGAAAATTATCGGTTAAAATAAAATCAATTTAAATAAAAAGTGTCTTTCCAAAAAAAAACTACCCGCTGTCGGAATAAAAATGGATTCATCCTTTGTGTCGTTAGACAATTGCTTTGTGGGTGTAGGAAATACGAAGGAGAAATACGCTAAGTGACCAGAGCTAACGCGTGATTTCCACTACGCGATGAGTGCTGCTCTTGATTCATTCATAGATTAAGGCAGCACGACTCTGACATTGTTGGAAAAACCAATATGCAAAAGCTTGATCTGTTGTGGACAGTGCTCAGCGCGGGAGATAAAATAATGGGTTTTGAGTTTTCTTCTCACAGAATCGTCTCCATCGCCTCTTTAGCTAAGAGGCCCATTGCTGTAACTGACACTAATTGGAAATTATCCTGCGTCTGAATTCCATCTAATCGTGCATCCCAGAGAATCACGTCAATCGGTGCCGACGGTCGGTACAGAATATCCCTCCAAAACCCCGCTTATTAAAAATGCGCGTCGCCAAAAGGGAGAAAAACACTCTGCTGGTCTGCACGATGCGGTCTCGCCGTGCTCCCTGCGTTCACACCGCGCTGCAGCTCCGTGCCAGAACGAGCCAAACGAATGACGACGTGAGCGCCTCTGCGTTGATGCACCGGTACGGAGCGTCCATGGGGCGTACCGCATTCTCCACATTTTTGTTTAAAGCGAAAGTTGTTATACACCTTGGGGAATGCGTCTGTTCTTTGGGAAGACGTGCGTTCATCTGGTTGTTCAGAAGACATTTCCCCGCTTGTGCGTTCATAATCATTTTCTGGGAAGATGATTTGCCATCGCACTACATCCCCACCCATGAGGACAAAAGACCAGATGTTCAGAAGCCCCTTGCAGAAGACATCCTTCCCCCATTATAAAGCAGCGTGCTCGTAATCATCTTCCAGACGATGGTTGTTCATAGTGATACATTGTCTTGCAGATGATGTGCGTTAATCTAATTGTTCAAAATTATCGTATGGAAGACATCTTATCTTTTTAAAGCAGCAACGTCCATAATCATCTGCTAGAGAACTGCTGTCCATAGCAATACAGTATTCTCACGATTATAAAAAAACTTTATTTTAAGTTATAATTGAACGGAAAGATTTTGGGGTGCATCTGTTACTTTCTCACAGCATCTTATTCCCTGGAGAAGCAGGACCTCGAAATCGTCGTGGGCTTTAAGGAGAAAATCGAAAGAATTGTAGGTGTGGTTGGAGAAAACGTTACAAGAAATCTTGGCTTTCGTGACTGCAGGAATTCATATTCTTGGGGTCTTTCGGTAAAGTCACGTAGATAGGTTCAAATAAAATAACAAAAAACTACAACGTTTCGATCGCAACACAAGCGGTCGTCATCAGGAAGAGGGGTTACAAGAAAGTCAGTCTCGTCGTTCAAAGGCGTCTCACCCTCGCGTGGGAGTTCTGTACGGACTGCACAAACACGGCGCTGTAGAATGCAGTGACTGTAAGGTTGAGCTAAAGGTTATTAATCCTAATCAAGACACTGATTCTCAAAACCTTTTGAGGACCCATTGTGAAACTCTATGTAATTTGCTTTTGAAAAAAAAAACCGACACAAGCACATGCACCTCCAATTAGCACGGTTGGCTAAGTATCATGTGAAAGAAGTTCAACACGTACATTTGGTGAAAACATTTATTATCTCAGTATCCTACAGTATTTCAAATTGGCACGTCAATTCCTTTGTAATGTTTTCACTTTTTAATTTGCGAAGGCTCCGTTTTAGTTTTCTTCAGATCCCGGTTTTGGAGTTTCACTCACGGAACACCACTGCCTACCACCTGGCATGGATTGTATTGCAGTTGAAGCGTGCCAATTCTCGCGCGTGGCACGTTTGTATCAAGACCTCTTTGAGTTTTTTGAGTTTGTAAGTTTCGGGGGAAAAGAAAAAATATATATTTTCTTGTAAAAGACTTTGCAATGAGATTTTATTAAACTGAAATGTAAAAAACGCCACCAATTATGATAAAAATGTGCCTTTACATTTCAACACTGAGAAATACAATTGCTGAGCTTATACACGTTACTCTTACAAGAGCAGTGTTTTAAAACGCTGTGCCTAAGAGATGTCAAACATCTAAAAACCTGGAGCGGTGTTCAACCCATGCTCATCTGGTCTCGTGCTCGTCTACAGTTCCGATCCGGGGTTGGTGGCTCCGGTGTGCGGCTGAGTGTTAGCCGCTCGGTGTGTGCAGAGGTTCGTGGTTTGAGCCCCGTGGTCCACCCTGGTTAATACTGTTGGGTGTAATTCATCTTTGTTACGACGTGCCTTCCTTCTGCCTCACGTTGGATGTTAATGGATCTTGTGACTGGAGTCATGGTGCAAATTATATATATATTTTTAATATACCCGCAGATTACTCGATTGGGAAACGCATCGCAGCTTTGCCCCCTACTAGTAACCGACTACAAACCTACTCAGGCTAGAGGAAGCGTAAGACTTTTGGTAATGACCTTGCACGATAAGAACGGCACGAACACCAAATGGGCTCATTATTTGATTCGACGTGTGCGTAAGTCACCTTGCTCATAAAGCGGTGCCTGTTGAGGGCAGTAGAGGAAGCCTCTGACTTTGCTCTGCGCGGATGGCTCTCTTGCGCGAGTGTGCGTTTTGTTATATTCCCTCCTACACGTGGCATATGTGAATCAATAGGCCAAACATGCCAAACAAGACCGACCCTCTTGAAACAGAACCTCGAGACCACTGGTCGGAATGTCATTGTAGAAGTGCCAGTATGAAACCCCTTCGTGGTGCGGGTGGAAACATCACGGTGTAGGGATAGGATGAGTCCTGGGGTGTGCCGGTCCTCGCGTTTGGCGTTGAGCAGTGCCGCTGGTGGCGTGCCATCAGTTATACGCACGTTTTGACCACTGCGCTCCCCCGTAGTCTGGTGACACATTCTAAAAGCAATCGACCCGTTTAAACTATGTGGAACTTATTTTTGGGAAGGCAATACTCGTATGATTATTTAGAAATGTATTCTCTAAAAATTATCACTCAATCCTCTTATATTTTGAAAGCTTAATAGCAGTTACTGTGTATTGGAGTATGGACCATATATTTTTTAAGTGCATTCATAATTATCATCACTTTCGCATAGTGTAAGGTAACGAGTCGCATGCATAAGAGTTCCATTTGTGTTCTTGAATATTTACATGCTTTATATTTTTTTGCTGAAGTGCCATAAAATGTTACTTTAAGTCGGGCGAAGAATGCTGCGCTGTTGAGGTATTACGTTCATGGGTGATGATAAAGTGGCTTCGGCGGGCAGTCCGTGCCAGTTTACACACGTGACGGTTCTATTTCCGCTGCAGGCGCACGGTCATTTCCGTGCAGGTTTCCAGATCACGCGCCTCCACCTGCTGTCGAGTGGACGTCGGGAAAACCTTGCGGCGAGGGCATCAGTCGCATGACTACATGCCCGGGTGATGTGCTGTGCCACCCGAATGTCTGATCTCACTGCCCAACCCAAATAAGCAGAGTGTTTTAAGGAAAATCAAACACCTAACTCATTTGTAAAGTTATCAGTATCACCGGCCGTGGCTCATGCACGCTTGTTGTTGGTGGATCACACACAGATGTTGCGAAACTCACAGAGGGCATTCAAATGTGACAAATCCTGCCTCGCCAGGGGAACGCAGTAAGGCAGAGATATGGGCTCCACCTGTTCCGTCTCAGTTTCCCCCTCGCGCGCTGTGTGGGTTTTCTCCGGACGTGCTGGTTTCCTTCCACATGTAAGCGCTCATTTACCTGGCTCGTAACACCTTAATATGTGGAGGACCGCAGAGCTTGGGAAAATCGTTGGCAAACCGGCTCACCACGTGACTGCCTTCCTGCTTTCTGTGGTTCTCTATGCCTCCCGAGTCGTTTTCTCTCTTTCGAGAGTGAATACCGTGCGCATTACAAGTTGAACTTATTCTAAGTATGGTCAGCTAGCCTTGTCTTCCAAAGGGAGGTCATGTGAATTCGCATGGCTTTACAGTACATGGCAGACAGGGCCTGATAGGTGGCATGTATGCCGGTGCCATGTGCAGTTCAGCCGTTGATGATGATAATTATTCCGAGATAATTTGCTCACGTATCCAAAGAGCTCGTAATTGTAATCGATAAAATAGCGATCGAGCTAGTAACGTGCATTTGTATTTCTTAGGCTCTGCTTAGAGACAAAGTAGTTAAATACCACAAGTGTTTTCATTATTGCAGGTCAGAAATGTAGTTGAGTGTATGTGCAATCAAGTCGATGGAAAGCGCATTGTTTATACGCTTACAAATAGAAGTGTCGGTAATTTGTGATTTCAGAATGTTACAGCGTGAAATTTTTATTAAACGTACCAATTGTTAATTTAATAAAGGGGTGGGTTTTTTCGCTATGCAGCATATATATGCAGTACATATATGCAGTACATAAATAGAAAAACTCATTTCTTTACAACTACTTTTTTGTGTTTAGTTTGTTGTACTTCCCCGACACCTCTGATTAGCCACGGTTGGCTACGTACGGTGCGAACGAAGTTCAACATACACACATAGTGCGACGGCTTCCTTGGCGCTTGCCAGGCAGAATGGGCACAGCAGCAGCCGCAGTGGGCGCCCACACGCACACAGAGGGTACCTCGTGACGATGCCAATCATTTGCTCGCGCAGAGAGAATAAAGTATGTCTTATGCTGATGTCTTAGAGCACAACAACACAACACAATAAAACTTAAAAACGAGTTTAGGAAATATTGTGCGTAAGCTTGGATTATGTCATGCGTGTCGTGAATGTGCGTTTGTCCACCCCTCACCCCCCCGGAAAAGTTTTTCATTGGTGCAGAAACGGACGTTGAGATGTCGGGCTAGAAATGTGGGCAACCCTTCGATCAATGCGCTTGATTTTCTACAGCCTATCACTCATTCCCCATTCATTCAATTCATTGGTCATCATTGACTGTCATCGATTTTGCTTTCACCAAATTCACGCATCATCAGATTCGCCCCCCCGCCCCCCCATTGCTGCCTATCATCGATTGTACTCGCCTCATCACCATGACATTCATAAATTGTACCGTTGTTAATTATCTGTAGAGCGCCTCGGTTAAGGCGCCCACTCCTGTAAGACCTCGCACCTGGAGAGACCTCCACCTGGAGCTTAGAGACCTCCACCTGGAGCTTAGAGACCTCCACCTGGAGCTTAGAGACCTCCATCTGGAGCTTAGAGACCTCCATCTGGAGCTTAGAGACCTCCACCTGGAGACGATACCTCCACCTGGAGCCTAGAGACTCCGAACTTGGGGACTCGAGACCCCACACCTGGAGACGAGACCCCGCACGATGTTTTGCTAACGCCACATTGGGTCGCTCGAGTGGCTCACCTCGTATGCACGTTCCAATGATCCGACGGCGCGTTTATTCTTTCAATTTCGTCGTTTGCTTGATTTGCATTCGCTGCAGAGGCTTGCTAGTGACATTTTGCAATTGTGCTATTTTCAGCGCTGTCGCATTACGCAGGCGACTGGAAATCCGCCTGCGGTTTTCTGGGTGAGGCAGTCCATCCCATAAAACTGCGATTGGCTTTTTAAATCCTTTATATTAAGTTCGCGTGCTTGCTTGCTTGCTTGCGTGCTTGCTTGCTTGCTTGCGTGCTTGCTTGCTTGCTTAGGACCGTGCAAATCTTTCGGTCGTTTTTTAACCCACTTCCCGTGATCCAATCGAGCTGACATTTTCCACACATACTCGTTGTGCCAGACAATTATTGTTCCTGAAAAAAAATTCCCAAAATTTTACACTTTTTAGGCAAAACAAATTTATTTTACATATATTCAAATAGAACTCATTCTTGGCTTTGGTTGAACGTCAGAGTGTAAGAGCCCAGAGCGTAACCCCTCCACAGGCCGTGGCGGAGTAGCGCAGTTGGTAGCGCCCTCGCTTCCCATGCCAAAGGTCGCGGGATCGATCCCCGCATCCTCCACAGGCGAATATATTTTTAAATCCTTTATATTAAGTTCACGTGCTTGCTTGCTTGCTTAGGACCGTGCGAATCTTTCACTCGTTTTTAACCCACTTCCCGTGATCCAATCGAGCTGACATTTTCCACACGGACTCGTTGTGTGTGACAATTAATTTTCGTGAAATTTTTTTTCCAAAATTTTACACTGTTTAGGGAAAACAAATTAAATATTTAATTACCAATTGCTTAATACTGGCAGACAATCATCTGACCCATAGATTGCAGCCATCTCAAGCCAGAGGACGAGAGAACTCTAGCCGCCACGCATATAAAGGATTTAGAGTGAAAAACTTTGTTTTTACGGGTTTACTTGTTTTAAACTCAATCTTGTATCGAACGCTCCAGTTGACGGGCGTCACGGGCAAAATTCCACGAGTTGATAGAAGTTTGTAATTACCCAAAAAATCCAAACACCGTGTTGCGTTTACCATCTCTGCGTGACGACGCTGTCACAACATCGAGGTCTGCTGGCCACGATGTCGGCTGGCTCTGACAAGAGGGCTTCAGGAGTTAAAGATTGTGTAGTTTTGCTGTTCCTCCTCCGTTGATTTACCCTGTGACCAATAGTTTGAGATGCATGGCCATAGTTGCACTACTGTGGCTTGTCTTTAATGTATCTCTCTAAGAATATCTGTAGGTCTTATGTAGCTAAATATGACTGAATTTAGTATATGGTCCATAGTCTGTCTGGCTTGCATTGCCACGATCGAAAACCACTATGGCTTGTGTCTTGAATGCATCTCTACGAATCTCTGCGGGTCTCTACGTAGCTCTACGAGTTGACCACGAGGTCCACAGTCTGCGGCTCGTCGTCGACGCTCCATCCGTGCAGGAGACGCGCGCGGCGGCCTGCTGAAGACGTTGGGCGGGAGACGAGTAGCCCCCTTCTCGCGACGGCCCCTCCCCCCGCCACGTCACGGGTCGGCAACCTGCGGCTATGGAACCGCATGCGGTGGCCCTTTAAGGACTGCTTCGTGACGTCACTCACATTGAAATATTGAGGTTTTTGCCGAATAAAAAAAAAATGGCTCCCCCCCCCCCCCCTGCATTACACGCGATTTCGTGCCACCTTAAACTCCACCAATGGCATGACCAGAGCCATCCCCAGGGTATGGCAAACCGGGGCGACTGCCCTGGGCCCCGCGCTTTGGGGGGGGCGCACCCCGCTATGGACAACCCTGACCGTCAACTCAGGGGCAATGGACGTCGTTAAATTGAATCCGCATGAGGTGGTGACGAACATCTATGTGCCCTCACGTGGGTAAATAAATGATGGATTTCATTGCGTTATTCTACATAAATGACCACACTCACTACAGTGCTTTGACTCCCATCAGCGGAAGTTGTTCCATTGTATCTGTGTCTTCAACTGCAGGCACCACACAGTAAAGAATAATGTCCAGTTATTGCCTTCTGCGGAATAATATTTAGCACTTAGGAACGCTTCTTTAATGTCACTCATGCAGCGCAGTACAACACAAGAGACAAAGCTAGTGGCTAAGCGTGCGGTCTCGCGCTGTATTCTGTATGCGCGTGTTCAAAGCCACGAGGTAGCACCTACACGATGGAGGAGTGAGCATCACCGCTTTAGACTCGGAACGACAGGTCAAGGCACAGAGAACAGCTCTTGTTAGGATTGGGCAGAAGCGCCCTGGGTCTTAAACCGGCATCGTTAGGACATCAAAAACCCGGTAACTTCACCGAGCGCCACCGCGCCTCTGGGCGAACGAGCTGCATGAGCGAGATGGCTCCGGCGAGTCCATGCAGGCAGAGAAGAGAGGGCGGACACGGCCTTGTCGGCTCGTAGCCGAACGCCAGCAGCAAGACGCCAGCCACGGAGTGGCCACACAGTGCCAACAGTCCAACCGCAACCTCCCGCGCATCGTTCGTCCCATCCGCCGCCACCTCCCTCTCGTCCGTCTCGTGGCGCAGCAGCAGAGCGAGGGACGAGGCGGCGAGGACGAGCCAGCCCGTGGCCAGACAAGTCCGGGACGTCAGTAGATTGGCACAGCCCGGAGACTCGCGCAGCGTGACGACGACGGAGGTGCAGGCCGCCGCCTGCGCCAACAGGAGGACGCCTCCGCTCGAGGTCACGGGATGCCGCCGGTGGAGCCTCCGGGAGAGGACGAAGTCGATCCCGAACAGCGCGGCCGCGAGCAGAGGCACCGCCCCCGAGGCGTCCAGCGGGGACGGGAGCCACCGGACGGGCGCGCAGCCGGGCCCGTGCGGGGCGCCCAGGAGGCAAGGGCGGCGGCGGTCCGCGAGGTCGGCGGCGCCCGTCACGAGGACGCGGTGCCACCAGAAGGCGGCGGAGAAGAGGAGGTAGATGGAGGTGCACACGCGCAGCGTCTCGGCCGCGCTCCGGTTTCCGGCCCAAGGTCTGCCGCGGCGCCGGTCCTGCGCGTCGACGCCGGCTGTGGCGGCTGTGGCGGTTGTGGCGGCGGTGGCGGCGGTGGTGGTGGGCGCGCACTGCCACCCGTGGCTGACCGGTGCCAGGGCCAGGGTGAGGCCGTTGGCCAGGATGTTGAGGAGCCTCACCGCTTGGCTCCACGCTTGGGAATTGTCCGGCTGCTCCGAGAGCGGCTGGTACAGGAACGTGGCGCTCAGCGTCACCACCTCCGCGCATCTGAGCACTGTGGCGGCTGCAGTCATGATTCGCGGCCGCTTGAATTTGAATCGGTTTGTTCTTTTTTACTTTAAACGTTTCTTACAAAGGCTGTGATAAGTATTTGCTGTTGAGGCGTTGGACTGTTGCTCAAGCCTGTTTAAGAACGCCTCCTGGACATCTGTCAAAAAAAGGAGCTTTTAAAGCGCATTGGATTCCACCAGTACAAATAATTATTTTGATTCTGAACTGAAAAATGTAAACGAGAGTCTACTCTCCCCGTCGATCGGTCTCTCGTGAGATGTGGAATGTTCGAGTGCAGCTGCTCTAATCTCATTTACACCACATTTGATCTACGCGTTTGGAGCCGGTCAATGTGCGACGCTTGCTATCACGAGCAGGACGCGAGCCGCGAATTCTACTCTTGGCGCTCATGAGCTAGACGCCAAAGTTTGAGGTCTGCCAGCCACGACGAGAGGGTTGGGGTAGCTTTGCTATTCCTTCTCCAGGCCACAGTAGGTTTACCGCGTGGGCCACCATCTGGGTTGCAAGGCCACAGTCGCAGCACTTCTGTGGCTCGTGTCTTTAATTTTACATTTGTGAAGGAGATTTTGCGCGTTGGCCTGCAGTTGATTCTCTGATGCAATGTGCTGCTGATGTCCGCCGTTGAACGAGGCCTCCCGTTGTTGAACCAGGTCTACCTTTGTTGAACCACGTCTCACTTTGTTGAACCACGTCTCCCTTTGTTGAACCAATTCACCCTTTGTTGAACCGAGACTCCTTTGTTGAACCAGGTCTTCTTAGTAACGCTCACCTAGAAAAACACACACAATGAAACAATCATAAAACACTGCATTGCAGTAAACGTAAATGAATTATTTGGTGAATATACTTTGGCAGCGGCTTCAAACGAGATGCAATTTTTTATTTATTAAAAGCCGTTTACGGATATGCTAAAAAAACATCGGAAACTTGCTGAATAACTGCACTGTAACCCTCTGAGGTTACCACCAAATTCGTGACTGACCGATGCAAATTCGTGACCGACTGATGAAAATTCGTGACCAACCGATGCTAATTCGTGACCGACCAATGCAAATTCGTGACCGACTGATGAAAATTCGTGACCGACTGATGAAAATTCGTGACCGACTGATGAAATTCGTGGCTGACTGATGAAAATTCGTGACCGACTGATGAAAATTCGTGACTGACTGGTGCAAATTCGTGACCTACTGGTGAAAACTCGTGACCTACTGGTGAAAATTCGTGACCTACTGATGAAAATTCGTGACCGACTGATGATAATTCGTGACAAGACCAATGCAAACTGTGGAGCGGGAATCTCTCTCTTTGTTACAGCTGCCTCTGTAGAAGCCGTTCTGCCAGCAAGTAGCATGCCGGCCTTGATAATTCACTGTGTAACAAAAACATATTTTTTAGTTCCTTGGTAGTAAGTGTTATTTTCTAGTAGCTTTTGCCTCAAAAGTACGGAATAAGTAATATTAAAAAATACTTGAAAACACGCTTTAATGAAATGTAGCGTATGAGTAATGGCAGAACTCCACGACACCAGGAAGTGGCCCGAGGCTTGCCACAACGTAAGGCGCTGTGGTGATTTAAAGCCAACGTGAGTTGAGCGTGGACAATTAGACCCAAGCCGAAACATAACATATAAAAAAGATTGCTTAAAAATATATATACTTTTAATGATAGAATATAGTATTGTCATCAGTATGACATACGTATACCAAGTTTGCAATCGATACCACATTGGGTAGTGGGTTCAAATTGAGTGGCAAGATTTGAGGATACAACAGAGTTGAGGATACAACAGAGTGAGTGAGTTAAATAAAAGCGTGTAATAATAAAAAAAGCGTGTAAAATGGCTATTATTCCGCACAAACTTTGTGACCAGTAGAGTTATATTTTGAAATGTACCTATTTTCAATGAGAAAACCCGTGCATTTGTGTCATTCCTTCACATAAAGTCCTGGTCACAAAATCATTGTTTGTGGGGAATAATAGCCATTTTCTATATACAGTACTTTTGAGGCATAAGCTATTAGAAAACAACACTTACTACCCAGGAACAAAAATCGTGTTCCATAATGTTACGTCTTCAACTCAAACACGTTGCACTGTTCACAAAGAGGTCGTGCACGAACATTACACACTGTCGGGGATGTTTTAAATCAACAAAAACAACAACAATTTCTGATCAGAGGCCCAGGGCATCATTAGGCCAGTAACAAACAGCACGAATATGTCACACGTTGCTTGGCAAGACGGGGGTTGTTTGTTGTGTCACTCACACAAAGACAAAGCTACCCCGTGCAGCCTTAACAGACTGTTAGGGCAAGTGCTGTTAGCGAGCACCTATGAAGGGCAGACACGTCATACGATGGGATGGGTGGCCAGCACGACGCCCGGGTGCCTTTGTCTCCCCAGTGGCGATGTTTACACACCGCACCAGGTACTCATTGAGTCAGCACACACCACACACACACACACTCGGTGGTCCCTGGCCCTCTCTACTGGGGCCGCCGGTGATCAAGAGTGGTGGAGCCACCGAACAATTTACCTGTGGTAAAGTCACGTAGGTAAAACAATTAAATAAAAATTAATAAAAATAAAATAATAAAAATCACGACGTTTCGGAGGCAACACAGGTCTCCGTCATCAGGTGGGACCGTCACAGCCAGATTTGTTGTATCAAGTGAGGCAGGGATTCCAAGACGCAAGTTCTTAAATACAAGTTGAGGGGGAGGTGAGGGAGGGGAGCTTATCCGAATGTAGTAGCCAATGAATGATAACGTATTTGAAAGGGGGGGGGGCTAAAAGAGAGCACGAGGTGTACGTGTACGTGGATATGTTTGTGCACAAGCACCTGTTGGTGCACATGCTAGAAGAGAACGAAAATACCCATGTTGTTTTTACCAGTGTTGGCTGACAATCAAATACGAAAAAGGTGAGTACTGTTAAACGCTGGGGATGTTAACACTCGGTCCCACCTGATGACGGAGACTTGTGTTGCCTCCGAAACGTCGTGATTTTTATTATTTAATTTTTATTAATTTTTATTTAATTTTTTTTTACCTACGTGACTTTACCGAAAAAACTAAGAGTATGAATCCTTGCAGTCACGAAAGCTTCAAATCTAGAATTTACCTGTGGCCACGTGCGCTCCTGGTGGAGCACCGAAGCCTACCGCTGCCTCGTCTCCCCGTGGCACAACACCTGCAGCAGAAGCAGCAGAGACAGCGGGTGGGAAACACCACGTTCCTATGGCGGGGCGATGGATATACCACTGCTCTCGACGGAGACGTCACGATTTCAGCCGGCAATGAGTAATGTTTAAAAAAGCTTTTTTTTTAAACACGCTTTAATGAAATGTACCGTGCTAGTAATGGCAGAACTCCACGACTCCAGGAAGTGGCCCCGAAGCTTTGCCATAGCGTCATAGGGCCGTGGTGATTGACAGCCAACGTCAGTTGAGCGTGGACAATTAGACCCAAGCCGAAACATAACATCTAAAAAATAATGTAAAAAAAATATATACTTTTAATTTTCAATGATAGAATATAGTCTTGTCATCAGTTTGACATAAGTATACAACGTTTGCAGTCGATACCACATTGGGAAGTGGGTTAAAACTGAGTCGCAAGATTTGAGGATACAGCGTCTCTGTTGACCGGCACGACCACAGCCCAAGGCAGACCGCGGTCACCCTCTCGGCTTCCCAGCCGCAGGTTCACGTGGCCAGAGAAGAACGGATAACGATGAACCCCTACACGGGGACCACAGCCGAAGGGCACAAAGACAAAGCTGCCAGGGTAGCCCGTCAACAGACTTGGGGTAAGTGCTGTGAGCACGCGCCTATGAGAAAGTCCCGGCACGACACACCACGCCCGGCCGCCTTTGTCTCCCCAGTGGCGATGTTGACTTACGCGTCCCACCAGGTACAGTACTCGCTTTAGGGCTGAGTCGACCCCAGGGGGAAGCCCCAAGTACGGGTTCAGATAACCTTGGCACGGACGGCCGCGAACGGGAGTCGAACTCGGGTCGCCGGGTTCGTCGCGGCTCGTGTGTTGAACTTCTTTCGCACCGTACGTATCCAACCGCGCTTATCGTGGAGCGCGGGGGGGGGTGACAACAAGCTGAACACGAACGGCATCTCAGCGCCAACCTAACCGCTGCGCCACCGCTCCCCGAGATCACGCGCGCGCTCCCTTACCTCGCTCACGCTGCAGCCGCAAAGCGCACAATGACGGTGCGTGATGGGTGGTGGTGATGATGGTGGTGGTGATGGTGGTGGTGACGGTGGTGGTGATGATGGTGGTGGTGATGCCCTCTGTGGGTGTAGGTGGGGGAGGAGGTGGAGGAGGAGGGGGATGTGGAACAGCGCCGCAACGCGTCGGGCGCCTCCACCCGGGGCGATCCCTGGAGACGACACGAGGCCGGCCTGCTGGGGGCCACTTACACAGCTGTGCGGGGGGTGGGGGGGGGGGTGTGGGGGGGGTGTGGGGTGTGTGGGGGAGGGGGGTGTGGGGGGGGGGGGGTGTGGGGTGTGGGGGGATGGGGTGTGTGGGGGGATGGGGTGTGTGGGGGGGGTGTAGGGTGTGTGGGGTGTGTGGGGTGTGGGGGGATGGGGTGTGTGTGGTGTGTGTGTGGGGGGGGGGGTTGTGGGGTGTGTGGGGGGTGTGGGGTGTGGGGTGTGTGGGGTGTGTGGGTGGGTGTGTGGGTGTGTGGGGTGTGTGGGTGTGGGGGGGTGTGGGTGGTGTGTGTGGGGGGTGTGGGTGTGTGGGGGGGTGTGGGGTGGGTGGGGTGTGTGGGTGTGGGGGTGTGGGGTTGGTGGGTGTGGTGGGGGGGTGTGGGGGGTGTGTGGGTGTGGGGTGTGGGGGTGTGGTTGGGGTGTGGGTGGGGTGGGGGTGGTGTGTGGTTGTGGGGTGTTGTGGTGTGGGGTGGTGTGGGTGTGTGTGGGGGGGTGTGGGGGGGTGTGAGTGGGGGTGTGGGGTGTGTGGGATGACATCACCGCCACTTAGGGGCTAATGTCACTTTTTGTTGTTGTGTAAGGGGGGGGGGTGCCACTGTTATACCACACGCCTTACCAACTCGCACACCTGTCAACCCCTTATCAGCGCCCTACCTTATTACAGACTAATTCCGACCTTAGTGGTCACCCCGTGCCCCTGATAAACCTCAACGTTCATGCTACAAAGTCCCATCACAAGGGAGAAACGCAAACACATTAACATCAAAACGTTGCCAGCATTGAAACGGCTGTAACGCCGTATATGGACCTTGGAAACTCAATTTCCCTGTACAAGAATCTGGGGTAAACCGTATGGGTTGACAGCTACTGACAAATATTACTGGTAGGAACATCCTGGTTACACCAGCCCACATAGGATTATTGTGTCCGTCCGTCGTGAAGGGAGGGGCTGGGAGGGGCTGGTGGGGAGGGGAGGGTGGGCAGGGGTTGGGTGGGGAGGGGGCTGGGTGGGGAGGGGAGGGGCTGGGTGGGGAGGGTGGGGCTGGGTGGGGGGTGGGAGGGGTGGGGCTGGGTGGGGAGGTGCTGGTCAACCCATGGTGCCCTTATAAAACTCAACGTTTAACCTACTCACGCCGGCTTGTGCCCGCCCTCACAGTCGGGCATATTTGCGGAATACACCACGCCGCCGTTGACCCTGGCCATTGACCGAGCAACCCAACGTTCCTACCAGCTCCTTCCGCAGGAATGTGTTCATTGGGGGCAGCAGTTCTAGATGGTTGTGCACCACACAATCCGTGTTGCCGTTTATATCGCGATAAAGTTCCAGCACAGCGTTGAGTCAGTAACCCTGGCGGTCCGCTTAGCCAGACCTCGATTCGGGATCATTCAGTTCCTGCCATCAAGATGCTCCGTGTGACAGCTTCACGCAAGCGGCAGCTGTTGTTGCTGTTGGTAGTGGTGGTGGTGTTGGTGGGTTTTGTGATGTTAGTGGTGGTGATTGATGGTTGTGGTGATGATGATGATGGTGGTAGCGATACGTACTGTTGGTGCTGATGGTGATGGCGGTAATGGTGGGGTTGGTGATGATGATGGTGGTAGTGGTGGGTTTTGTGATGTTAGTGGTGGTGATTGATGGTTGTGGTGATGATGATGATGGTGGTAGTGGTGGTAATGGTCGTGGTAGTGGGGATTTTAGTCGTGGCGATGGTGCTGATGATGCGAATGGTGACGGTGATGATGGTCGTGATGATGATGTTGGTGATAATTGCGATATTGGTGGTGGTGGCATTGGTGATGCTAGTGATGTCGATGGTGACAATGATGGTGTCGGTGGTGGGGGATGGCGGTGACTCTGAGCTGTGCTGTCAGGACCGGAGCTGTCTCGAGAAGCGAGTAAGGCGGTCACAGCTCCCGTCTCCCGTTCCCACCTTGTAGGCCAACTCAGCCTTAAGTGAATCAGTCAACTTGTCGGCGTGTGTCAACATCAGCACTGGCGGCAACAAAGGCGACGGGTTGTCAAGTGGCACACCCACCTCACCCACTCTGGGACTTTGCACTGCTCGTAATTATTGGTGGCATCTCAGAATACCGAGGTCGCAACTGAGCCGACTGCAGAGGTCGCAATCGGGTACCCGATACCCGTACCCTACCCGATACCCGGCTACCCGTACCCGGTCGGGTACGGGTACCCGTTTGCGACCCTGGTGCGGCTGGGTACGGGTACGGGTAGGCCGTGAGTCACTGGTGAGTAGCCGTTTGTCACTCATTTCGGGTAGGGTACGGGTAGGGAACGAGTACCCGTTTGCGACTCTGGTGCGGCCGGGTACGGGTACGGGTAAGGAATCAAAACCCGTTTGCGACCTCTGGCTAGCGAGTTGTTACAACACACTGGTGTCGTGTGTTCTATCGAGACGCACTCTTGAGGATGGAGGCAACACGTTTTATTCACTAAGGGGCCGTCCATAAATGACGTCACGCACCTGGGGGGGGGGGTCAGACAGTTGTGAAATGTGACGTCACATCTAAATGCGCAACTTTAAATATAGACAACACGTTCTACTTAATTAAATATACTTTTTTATACATGTTTCCTTCTACAACATCAGAGTTCAGCGTCACATTAAATACTCACTACAATGACAATAGTTTAAAGCGATTTGAAGCATTTTTATTTTCAAAATGGAAATATGGTTTGGGGGGGAGCAGCAGAGCTTTGTGATGTCATATTTGAGGGGGGGGGGTCTGACTTTTTGTGACGCCGTGTGACGAGAGGGGGGGGGGGCAAAACTCGTCCAAAATCGCGTGACGTCATTTATGGACGGTCCCAAAGTCGACACTCAACGGGGCAGTTAACGGGCAGCAACGAGGCTGTGAGTTGGGGCAATGTAGGGAGGAGGAGAGTCGATATCAGAGGTCGCAACCGGGTACCCGATACCCGTACCCTACCCGATACCCGGCTACCCTGCTGCGGCCGGGTACGGGTAGGCCGTGAGTCACTGGTAAGTAACTGTTTGTCACTCATTTCCCAACGTCTTGTCTCTTCTCACAATTCAAGTTCCTAGAATCAACCCACCCGCGCCTGCAACATGGCTTCATCCCAGAGGTCGCAATCAGGTACCCGATACCCGTACCCTACCCGTACCCGGCCGGCCGGGTACGGGTAGGGTACGGCCGGGTACGGGTACCCGTTTGCGACCCTGGTGCGGCCGGGTACGGGTAAGGAATCAAAGCCCGTTTGCGACCTCTGGTCGATATACAAAGGGGTGAGATTGCAGCTGGAATGCAGTTAAACCTGGAAAGGACAGGGAGTGGTTGGGTTGTGAGAGCTCCATCGGAAGTTAAAAGATAAATAGGTTTAGGAGTGTAAACAACAGGTTCCCGATTGTTACAATTGTGAAGGAATATATTTTTATTATTAAATTGTGTTACCCATTCTGGGTACAAAATATAGACGATTGTCAGCATCTTCTCTTACCGTTCATATTTCGCAACATGCAGGCGACGTTACACGCGTATACGTCACTGCCAATGCAGTAGCAGCATCATAGAATAATTATCTCTTGAGAAAGCGTTACATTCAAGCGCTCAATAAATGCCGATGTTTCACTTTTCACGTGCTACGAAGAAGGACTCATTGCCTTCTTCATAGCGACTTGCAAAAACACAACGGAGGAATATGCGAAGTCGCGGGGGGCAACATGGGAAACAGCTCGCGGGAGCGACGTGAAACAATGAATGAATTTCGATTTAAAGCTTTCGTGACTGCAGGGATTCATCTTCTTGGTTCTTTCGGTAAAGTCACGTGGAAGGGAAATAATAAAATAATAAAATAAAACATAATAAAATTATTCTCACGACGTTTCGGCCACAACGCAAGCAGCTGTTCTCAGGTGAAGAACAGGTCTGTCGGAAAGACAGCGTCTTCCCGACAGACCTGTTATTTTATTATGTTTTATTTTTATTATTTTATTATTTCCCTTCTACGTGACTTTACCGATAGAACCAAGAAGAACAATGGATGAAGGCAGACCAAAAAAACCCGAAGAATCGACTGCAATCTGGGCATGGCCACTGGAACCTCCTCGTTCAGCCGAGCTCCACGGTGAAGTCTGACAGCATTACAGCAACAAATGGCCCTGTTTGTCTTGGGTCACCATGAACGTAAAATTTGAGCAAATGTGACCGATACGTTGATCGTGATTGGTGAACCCAAGACAAGAGGTCCACAATGCACTTCTTCAGGGAGTGCTGATGGGTTTGTTGTTGTTGTTGCACAATGCACGGAAATCTGAGTGCTTTTCACACCGAGTTTGTATTGATTGAAATGCATGGTTATCCCTGCCTGCGCTCTTATTCTGTTACAATTATGACGGGTTTTTCTCCTTATTTACAGATTTCATTGAGGACATAATGGACAGCCCACAGCACCACCACTCCGTGGTTCTTGACCCAATCACCACAATCGATGACTTCTCCACCTTCACGTAGATCGAGGCAATTCTCTATATTTTCCCTTGACAAAAAAACAATAAACAAGAGCCACAGTTATGTTAATTGGTGTATTTGCATTGCTTACATAAGCAGCTCTATTGCATACTAAAGGTGTGTGTTCAGCGCACGTTCTGTACGTGTCGGATGAATGTTAATAATGAATGTTAATAATTCAGTAATGCAGCGCCGTGCTGTACACTTGTAAAACGTCTCGTGAACTCTTGACTCAAGGGGAGGACGGGAGCGAGAGAGTGTGGGGTTGAGCACGTAGCGGCATTGTTACGCGCAACATGTATACTTACCTGCGTAGCAGCATTGTATGGGTCACGTACACTCACCTCTAGTGGCGGCGCCTTTAGTGTAAAGGGGGCGCAGAACAGCCAAGAGGGCTTTTGAGTGACCGGTGTATGACCCACGACTACAATAACACTGGTCAATAAAAACAAATTCTGGCCTGGACTTTTGCAGCTGTTTTAGACTAATTTCAGGGTGCTGATTCCAAATCTGATCTCAGATTTGCTCTATCACATCTCATTTTATGCTATCGGCATACCCCATTTTCATTGATTTTACCCGAAATTAACTCTGTCACTTATGATTGCAAGTTGTTGCGAGTCAGTGACTGCTTTAGTGATAAAATATGGTGCTGTATTTTTAGGATCGTGTGTTTATAATATCATTTTATGTAGATATCCACATTTATTTAATATTTTTCTTCTGCAGTTTTTTATTGAAAATGCAATATTTGATATCTCAAAAACCTGATGTGATAGAAAAAAACTGATGCCAGATTTGGAATCAGCACCCCAAAATTACACTAAAACCGTTGGAATACCTTATGCCAGAAAAAATGTGTTGACCAGTGGTAATCGTTGACCAGGGGTGAGGGGGTCAGAGCCCACTGAGGGAGGGGACTGGGGGGGGGGACAAAGGTCAGACCCAGACCCTCTCGAGAGAAGGCGGTTGGGAGAGAGGAGTATAAAAAGGGCAGCAGCTGTCCCAGCGTGGGTCATTCCGCACTCACCTCAAGACCCGAAGACGTCGAGATATGATACATCTTTATATGATACATCTATGGTAGCGCCCTGGGACTTGCGACCCCCGGCCATTGTCAGGGCCAGGTCCGAACGGCCCAGTGGCGGCACCCATTACCCTGGCAAGGTCGGGTGAGCATAGCCTCCCCTAGGCCCCTTAGCGGAGAAATTCCCGATAGCAGAGTATAGTGTGAGGGCACACTAAGTGTGAGGACGTATCCTCTAGGCTATCGGGTGGGAGAGGCCGTTATCTCTCCGTGTTAGGGACGTTCTTAGTCATACTGTTAGTTCTTTCGGTAAAGTCACGTAGGTAAAAAATGAAATAAAAATTAATAAAAAAAAATAAAACAATAAAATCACGACGTTTTGGAGGCAACACAAGTCTCCGTCATCAGGTGGGACTGTCACAGAGCGAATAAACGGTGTTGCCTACAAAGGGACGTCTCTGCTTACTTTGTCAACACTACAAGGATAAGCGAGGGAGACTAGGGTTCTTCCTGGGCCATGCGGCACGATTGCTAATCTCCCGACGGCCATGGTTACGCAAAACGGAGGCACCACATTGAGTCAACGTCATACTGTCAAACAGCAATCAACGCATGCGGTGCACTACACAGCCTCGCTCACGCAAAGCGCGTTGTCAACACGACCGTAGGCTTTGTAACGCGCGCGGATCTCGCACGGGGGAAAGGCACAGGTTTTTAATTGGATTTTCTGTTTGCACTCAGTCACATATTCACTTTAAGATGTTTTTTGTTCATGTTTTTGTTTTTTGTTTGTTGCGGTTGCACCCGATTCAAGAGCTGAATGGCTCACAGGGCTATACCTAATACATGAACTTGAACTTGAGTATTCGTGGCAATGTCGACGAACATTCGGGCGACTTTTCACGACCCTCCGTCCTTTTCAGTGCACCTCCACCAACGTGGAAGCAAGGCGAGCAGTAATGTTACGCCGTGGGTTGGGAGGCATTAACATCGAGTGAGCGGTCTGAAAAACAGCACGCTTGGTACGTAAGTGGCTCGCCGTCCTTTGAAAGCAGGGGTGGGTAACCTCTTTTCTGCCAAGGGCCATTTGGATATTTATAACATAATTCGCGGGCCATACAAAATGATCAACTTAAAAATTTGCCCGTTTTATTTGGTCAAACATTTTATTAACTCACCCCCAATGTGATGGCTGGAACTGCTTCTCTTTGGCGAGGCGTGTGATGTTAGCTGGTATTGATGATGTTACTACTCGCAACTGTTTTTCCAGGTTTGCTCCTAGATTTAGTGAATTTTGAGTCCTGCCTGCGGTTGCCTTGGCAGGGCCAGACTCAAATAATTTCGCGGGCCTTATACGACCCGCGGGCCGGACGTTCCCCACCCCTGTTCTAAAATATAGTTGTCAACCCATCACGGTTTACCCCGTATTCTCGTACAGGGAAATTGAGTTTTCAGATCCATACGGCGTATAGCCGTTTAAATACGGGCAAAAAAACATGCTTTCGTCTATTTGTTTGTGTTTCTCCCTTGTGATGGGACTTTGTAGGATCAACGTTGAGATGTATAAGGGGCACGGGGTGACCAATGATGTCTGAATTGGTCTGTAATAAGCCACGCACTGATTAGGGGTTGGCAGGTGTGCTAAAGGTCAAACAGTTGAGCACGTTATTTTAATTCGGCAAATCTGGGCTGTAGCATCGATGTGGCAGCACGGGGAATCGCAACCGTGCCTCTTGATGTCCTCCGTGTCATGTTGGCCTATCACTATCCTAGTCTGCCACTGTTGTATTTAAGAACTTTTAGTCCATCTAATAATGTCTATGACAGCCAGCCAGCAAAACTTAAAATAATAATATCGCATGATGTGAAGAGAGGTAGACACACAGACAAGCACAATGCATGACACCCTAATTCTGAGTTTTACAAAAGCAATTAGGTAGATTTATTTAATTTAAGAATTTATCAACAAATGACAAAGTCCTGACATCACAATTGGCCCACGATGACAAGGCCACGAGTTTAAATCCCAGACAGGGTCGTCTCAGCTCATCATCTTCCTCGGTGGATAAAATAGGCTTGGAATGAGCCTCACTCTCTTTTAAGCCACCAGTAGCTGTTGCATTAACAGAATATGGTCCCTGCCACTGTCACATGGAATTCCCACCGCTCCCTCAAGACCACTTGCGGAGATGAGCATTTGCCCAATGCTTAAACGAGCATGGGGACATATGATAGGATGCATCGAGGAGACTTTCCAACACTCGAGCAATGAGGATAACAGAAGAATAAGATTTGTTGCGATCTCCAAACGAACTGCAAAGCTGTTGTACTGCCTTCTGGTCATCCTCAGCAATTAGTGATTTCGAGTTCAATATTAAGGTTAACGATTAAGAATACATATGTTTTTTAATGGCACCCAAACAAACTAATAATACACCTTACCATGGCTTGAACCAAATCAACGAAACTTGTCTGAAAACCCTGGCTATGCCATCGAGTTAACATTTGCATGACGTTTGATGTAATCATTCGGCAGTCTCTTCTCTCTGTAATCAGAGATGCACGGGGGGGGCGGGGGCAACAGGACAAACAAAAGCGAAGGTTGCCCTCCACCACAGCAAAAAAAAAATGTTGTATGGCCATTAAACATCAGACCATTGTGAGATTGTTCATCAATGTATCGTCGTGAATAAACCAACAATTATTGATTTACATACATAGATATCAGAGTATACGATGCATATCGACTTTATAGGCTAATCGACTTTAGATTTTAAGCTTTCGTGACTGCAAGGATTCATATTCTTAGGTTTTTTCGGTAAAGTCACGTAGGTAAAAAATAAAAATTTATAAAAGTAAAATATTAATTTAAATGTTTTACCTACGTGACTTTACCGAAAAAACCTAAGAATACTAATCAACTTTGTTTCGCAAAATGTCCATTCTCCCTTTTGAGACGTTCACACTTGGGTGTTGTCGCGGTGTGTCACCCTGGAGCACCCCAGTGCCTATGGCTAGCATCCATCCCAGCCAGAGAGAATCCACTTCTCTCGCGTGCCAGCAAATAAAACAGTAACAAATCACTGGGTTTCTAATTAGAATAACCCTAATTACATTATTTTATTTAACAATCAAAAACCCCAATAGATCATCATTCCCTGCACCTAAACCCGCGTAATCGAAAAAATATTACCATGTACGCCATTTGTCCGTTTCTTGGGTGGAGTAAATATATATATATTATCAGGTACAGTTTTCTATACCGTCTTATCAATATGCAAAAAATAAATGGTGCTTTTTTGAGCAAATAAGCCACATGGAAACCCACTGACGGACATGCAATAGAAGGGTTAATGTGATATACGTTTCAAAAGCCACAACGCATCAAGGGAAGACCACATCACTCTGCGAACAGATTCGTGAGCATATTATACACAATACTGTTTTAGGGAATTTACAGGGCTAAAAAAACAATGATTTTAACGTACTGTCGATTTCCATTTGAGAGTCTGACTAGTGGAGCAACGGCCATAAAGCACCACTGGGGTTAATATTCAGCACAGCTGCCCACATTTACAAGGCACCTTCTCATGACAAGGACTTTATATAATCGGGGAAGGCTCACAGATTCGGATATAATCCGAGTCAGGGGTCATTGTTTTCATTGGAGGTTCCTAGCCTATCATAGCAGTTCCACATTCCTCTGACGGGCACCAGTCGCTCCAAACGGATAACCATACCTCGAACTCCTAAAAAATTGGTACTCGTTTATTGATGCTGTAAAAATGATGGGAACCCGTCACCCCCTCCCCCAATCAATATAGCAACGCGCATCCAACCAAATCAGTCGAATTCTCTCACCCAGGGGGCTCGGCAACCTGCGGCACCTGAGCCGCATGCGGCTCTTTGGCTCCCCCCTCCCTTGTGGGCAGCAGCCGATTTTCTAAAGAAGAAAAATTCTCATAGATCCTAAACGTAATTTGACGCTAAAATAATAATCAATATGACGGGGAATGGGTCACTATGGAATGTCTTGGTGACGGACGACAATGTACCGTTAAACTGGTATTGTTAAAGAATAACTGGGAGGGTGGGGGGCTAAATAGACGCAGTTTATTCCATTATTTAGTGTTTGCGTGTGCGTACAAGTAGCTCCGCGTGTTATGCGGCTCTCCAATTATTTTGATCAACGACAAAAAAAAAACTCCTGCTCTTGCCACACATTTGTCCGTGTTGCTGTACTGCTTTGGGTTTTACCGCATTCTCCCGAATTCTAAAAACGCTCTGGGAAACGATGCGCCCCAAACTTTTGTGCGATAATTTTTTGTTAATGTAAAAGTGCCTTTTATAATCTGGATGATACAGTAAATTGCCATGCAGAGTCGTCTCCCAGATGAGGATGACGATTGCACGGATTTACAATTAAAAGGGGTGGAAATGTCTTCTGGAAGAGGATTCCGTACGATCGGTGGGGGTAGTGTTATCAGCACTCTGGGAGGTCGTGTTACAATGGAGAACCGCCTTCTGGAAGATGATCCTGAACAACTGGTTTAATGCACGTCTCCCAGAAGACACAGGTATTCACGTACAATATCATCAACATTCGGCTTAGTTTACTCGGGAAAAGTCACACCGAGTCAAGATAGTTTTCAAGAGGGCCCTGGGGAGACGATTGCCGTTTCACAATCCAGAATCTTCTCAAATCTGGGGCATTTGGACCGTGATGCTGGCACACGATGGCATAACGTCTTGTAATGCAAAGGTGGGTCTTGTAATTCGGTGACTAAGTCGATGCAAACACACCACGCTTCGTTTCGGAGCCTTTTTTTCACAGATGTGCACGCCATGCCCTCTGGTGGACCGCGAGATGTCTTGCAGATCACTAATATGAAGTCGTGCCAGAACGACACAACCTCGACATGAATTCATGGCATCAGCACGGCGCTTTAAGCTTTTTGTACCGTCTCGTCTGTACTGAAATTTGGATGTTTGTTGCCGTATTTTTTTCTCGTTTTGTAAAATATCGCTGTCTCTCCAATACCGTGCCCTATATCCCTGTGCCGTGCTGGTCCATGCATGAACGTTACACATTAGCCAACGATTGTCATGTCATCATCATAGCAGATGAACGAGGCTGCATAGTGACGGAACAGAAGCCAAAAAAAGCCACATCTGAGAGGATGACCACCGTGGACGCATTCCCGTTGATGATGACAAAGAATCGACAAAAATCAATTTTGGGGGCAAAGCAATTTTAAACCGCGTGTATCGTTTGGACAAAGAATCGATTTTCATCAGTGGATTGTTCTGGCTCTTAATATTTAGCACGATCGCAGAATTGGTTGATAAATTGCGTTAGAAGTTTCAAGAACCTTACGACCTCAATCTTACCCGTTTTTATTTCATTAGTCTGGCTACAAGTGCTGCCTTGTTTTTTGTTTTAAATGACAATTCACAGCTGATCACTCCCACACTGAGACTCGCAAACCTAACACGTAGGTTTTCGCGGCCGCTATTACGATTCATAATTGTTTATTGGGTTTTAAAGCAAGTAAAATATGCCTATAAACATTCGGGCAGTTCACCAGCATTGATTCAAGCAATCCTGACTGCTGACAAGGGACACTGAATGTTGAAACCTTGTATTGAATCAATGCTGCCGAAATGACGACCTCCCAGGTCATTTGGACTGATGAGTTGTAATACTTAAATTTTTTTGTGTGGAAAGACAGATATGTGAAGGTGACAGATTGCCTGCTTTTCCATTTTGTCACTCAAATTTGATCAGATGATTCATTACATAGCCTAACCCAATATAGTATGAATCGGTGAGACTCGTGTGTTTTTTGACATCGCAGTAACAGGCACTGTTACATCTGTCATCGATCACTGCTCCACATCCGCCCACACCACCGCCAACAATTAACTGCTGGACACCGTTGACCCCACGGCTGCAATAGCAACATTGGTCGACGGAACGTGCCTGCAACCCACAGAGGTCCATCGCAGAGATAGACGTCTGTCTACAGAGTAAGAGGTTGCACTTATACAAGTGGCCTTTGGGCGCGCTCCCGCACGACTGCGACCCAAACACTGTGCGTTCAAGCGCGCATTGGTCAAGAGCTGCCAGTACAGCGTCACTGTACCGGTCGCGCGTGCCAAGCAAAACGAACGGAGCCTCGGGCGTGATCTGCGTTTGGCGCGTTCACGCCAAGTCTAAGCACATCGCTCGATTCTCGAATCCCACAAGCAACCGTCGCAATAGCTCAGCGCCGCCTCCCCCAGGCAACAGCAGGGGGAGTGCACGCTCCACCAAGAATTGTTTTCCATGGCTATCACACCGGCAGTCATCCCACGGGGATGCCGAATTGAGTGCAAACACCCAACATGTCAGTTGAGAATCATTGAATCCAATATGCATCAGAAGCCGATTTAATTGCGAACGGCTGGCTCCCGGATTAGAAATCAGTATCTCTGCGTCACTGGACCAATGCCGACGTTCGGGACGCCCTCCGAGGCACCCGGCAGCAATGTTCAGATCCCACCGATCTCAACCATTAGGTTGTCTTCAGAGGTACACGTTCAACACGTCCTGCCGCTGGTGTCCGTCAAAAAACCATTCTGACAAATTAAAACGGTGGCAGATTCCATTCTGCGTCGATGTAACCAAGACCTGTTCTTTGGTTAACATAATAAGAATAATAATTACCCGTCGCATACGCGGGCATACGCAATTGTGCGGTGCATTAGGCCGGACGCAAGCAGAACTGGAAAAAAAAATCACCCAAGTAAAGCTGCCAGTGGTCAACCGAACTTGGATGGCATGGCCTGCTCGTGGAAGTTTCAGCCTTGCAAAAGCAGCATTGCCATACCATTGCCATGTCACGCTCGGGAGTTTGTGTTGAAATGTACACTGGCGGTGTTAATCTTGGCACCTTGCCACCAGTGCACACTGGGATGCTGTGCTCGGCATATTTGATAAAGTGTCAAGTCTCCAAGTGCTGCAAGTTACTCTTCTAACATATTTTGCATTTTTCTGCCCATCATTGGCTTTAATCATATTGGACCTATTATAATATTGGCATAAGTTGCAATCGTAAATATGATGAATCTCAACAGGCTCTCGCATACTTAGAACACGGATTACATTTCAATGTTTTCGTAAGACCGTGTTAGTACCATCACACCAATCAAAGGCAATTTAAAACTTAAATTTGACTAACACAATTTGGCTTTGCATTGGGCTAAAACAAACGGTGACAACAAATTTTTGGAATCATTTCAAAATCTCAATTAGGTAACGTGTTAACAATCGACCCGTGTTCGTGCATTCGAACAGGGCTCGCGTACAAATCATCTCGCGCGTTGCGTGGCGGCATTCAGGTTTAGTCGTTACGAACGCCCCATCGGCAAAGGCGTGTGCCGTCGAACGCATCCCATCGGCGCGGGCGGCGCGCGTGCCACGGTCCGTCCGCTCAGCGGCTAGAGCCGGCCGTGTGCGTGAAACGGGGATCCAACTTGAGGTCAAAGTCCTTGAAGTCCCGCGAGGCCTGGGTCCCTAACGCGTCCAGAGCCTTCCGGTTCATCAGCGCGAATCTGCGGTGGCATCATCGATCATCATGATCATCATAACCAATCATCAATCACCGCACCACGGTTGGTTACGTACGGCGCGAAAGAAGTTCAACGTACATACATTAACAACCATCATGTAGTTGTGGTGCAAGACAGACGGTGATGCACAGCGTTGAAGACTGTCCGTGACACAAGCTAAGGGCGATGCTGTGTTCTGACTTGTATGTATGACGAACTTCTTTCGCACCCTACATAGCCAACCGTGGCTAATCGGAGGTGCGGGGGGAGGCATAACAAACTAAACACAAAAAGCAGTTCTAAAGAAATGAGTTTTCAATCTATATTTAAAAGTACATAGCTCCCAGTGGCATCCTAATGTTAGAAAGAAGAGCGTTCCAGACGGCTGCAAAAGTGCATCTGAAAGCGCGAAATGCAGTGACTGCCTGGGCACAAATGCTAAATAAATATAATCATCAATCATAAACATCGTCCTTATTATCATCTTTGTCATCGTTTATAATCAGCTTTAATTATCATTCATCATGGTCATTATCATCACCAATTATCATTAACCATCATCAAACATCAATCATCATTGTCCACACAGTCATCAATGTACATGTCCAGCAGCATTCTCAATCCAGTGCTGGATGAAGGCCTTGCCACGCTGTGCGGGTGCGAGTTTTTTCTTTGACTATATTTAAACGCGCTGGGATAGTGTGCTCGCCACGTGGGTTAGCGGCCTGCTTGAGAAATGAACCTCAGGTGGACCTCGTTCCAGATTGCCCAAAAGTCACACCCCCACACCCTGCCACACGAAAGCGACTCGTCGAAGAAATCAAGCGTGTTTAAGCCCTCGTTTCCTAAGTGCCGTGGGTTTTCAGTGTTGTGCAGTTTAGTTGAACTGCGGAGATTTTGAAGAACTTTGCCATTACTCTTCACGCAAGGCTCGATACAATAACCACTGAACTATTGAGGGACACTTTTACAAACAGCGTCTCGTTAAACGTTTTGCTATTCTCCAGATTATGTGTGTGTGGGTGAGCAGACGTGGGGAGCGGTAGTGTAGCGGTTTAAGTGCCGCGCTACGAACCCGGCGACCCGAGTTTAATTCCCGCTCACGGCCAACACCAGTGACGATTATCTGAATCGGTTCTGGGCCTCCCCTAGGTCGACTCAGCCTCAAATAATGATTTACATTTATTTGTAAGGCGCCTTCCACGAATGTCTCAAGGCATCTCAAGCCTCAAATGAGTACCTAATGCGTTGTTTAAAAATCGCCACAAAGACAGGCTGGGTGTGGTCCTGGTTACTCAACCCCTCGTGTGCCGTGCCGGCCTTCATAGGTGCTCGCTAACAACACTTGCCCCAACAGTCTGTTCAAGGCTATAAGGGGGATCGTCGTCTTTGACCAGACCTGTATACATTCATCGACACCGCGCACAGGTTTCGGAGGAATCTTATAAACCCAGAGATTACGGCAGTTAAACAGGGAACAAAAGCAACGCGAAAAGGGGAGGGGAGACACGAACGACTGCCGATTGGGCCGAGCTTTACAAATCCGAGCTTCGTCTGCGAAATCGTTCACAGGTCACGACGGCAGGGCGCGACGGTCGACTCGTTTGTCCTGCAGTGCCGAGAACGCCGCGCGGCTGCTCGTTACTTCAGAGCCGAGGGTTAGCGTGGGGGAATCCGCAGAAAGGAGTCGCAGCGGGCGGCGCGACACGGCATGCTTAGTGCATCGCTCCGATTAACACGCGTGCCGACGTGACGGCCTGGGACGGAAAAGTGGAAAACGCTTTTGCTGTGAACTCCCCCCCCACCACCACCACCGGAGGGCAGCCACATGGAAGAGTTTGGTGAATCCCTGGGTTTGGAGAGGTCGACACGTTCTGAGATGATATATATATCAGAGAATCGCACTTATTGCGTTACTTTTCCCATGGCTTTTCCACCCGTGAGAATTTGTTATTAGCGGGGGTGGTGTGGTCGCTACGAGTGGACCGAGTGGCTGCTTGAGTTGACGAGCCGGGCGGTGGTGGCTATGATGTGGCTATGATGTGGCTATGATGTGGCCCGTAATCCAGAACTCTGGAGGCGAGGGTTGGTGATCCGCACAAATGTTGTCATGCTCCCTTCCCATGGGCGTTGACGTATCATACCCTGGCTTGCCAGAAGGCAGTGCAGAAAACATGTGGACTATCCGTTCCGTCTGTATGGGATAGAGTGTTTCCGCCTTGCGTGCGTGGATTTTCTCCGGGTGCCCTGGATTCTTCACACATGTAATCACTCATTAATTTGCTGATAACACCTTGATGTTGTTGGCGCTGGCTCATTGCGTGGCTGCCTTCCCCGCTTATCTGTGGTTCCTCCTCGCGCCTCTGAGCCGTTCTCTCTCTACGAGAGTGAGCGAACACTGAGCAGCACATTACAAGTTGAAATTATCTATGAAAAGGGAAATTTGTGAATGTGTCTCTGTTCAAAATGTTTAGTGTGTCTGTTCAAAATGTTTAGCGTACTTCCCGACATGCAACAAACTTGCAATTTGCCATGTGGGTACTTTCCAGACTGTACACTATGCAAAAATTATAAAAATAAACTTTTGTATTTTTTTTGGAGGGGGTGGGGGGGTGGCGCAATTATGCATATATTTAGCAGGGCAAGTGAGCTGTGATGTCACATCTGTCATGTGACCCGTGTGCGGAACGGTCGTTTACTGATGTACGCACCCTGAAAGTTGTGTGTGTCTGCAGCAAGCGCGTGTATGTGTACCTATGGACGCGCGTGCGTGTGTGTGTGGGGGGAGCGGTAGTGTAGTGAATCCAAGTCCCGGGTGAAGCCAGGTAGTAAAGCTAGTTATGAATAAGAGAATGCCTAAATGAAATCCACAGACTAAGGATTGATTAACGTTCCACAGGTCATCATCGACTTGACTAACAATCCGCCTAACATAAAAAAATGGTAAATTAACACGGTTGCTATGTAGTGAGCAGCAGAGGGCAGTGTAGCAATTAATCCATTGTTGTACTGTACTTCAATGCTCTCGCGTCTATGCTCCCCTCGTTCGCCATTGAACGCTGAACCAGTGCGGTGGGTGAGGTGTGGTCAACTAGTCCCCACAATCCGCAAGGCACGGGGAGGCCTTCATCCAGCAGTGGATTAACAAAAACAGCTGGACGCGTGTACATGTGTAAGTGTACCCGCACACGCACTCCCATATGCCTGTTAAAACACCCCCACCCCGCCCAACCCCCAATAAATCCAGGCTGCATGGAATGACGAGACGACTACAGCAGCTGTGGTTGTAATGGAACACTTCACAATGCACTGAGCCCCCCTGGATTCACTGGAGGTTTGTTGGCAAACATATGGACAAGTTGACTGAGTGAGCATATATACGTTACAATGTTCATACATACCGTGCAGGTGATTTAGAATTTTTTTATATAATAATGTAGGAAAGCTGCCACTTTCGTGAGACGTGAAAATCCAGACGTCGGCGGTTCGATTTGATCTCCCGGCGTGGCAGTTAAAACAATGGGGCAAGTTTTCATTAAACTCCCTCCACCTCTGTCCACCCACAGCAGTATAAATGCGTACAGCAGAGTTAAGTCGATCGGCAATGTCGCGCGCGGTGGGGGTAGCGTGTGGGTACTCCCATCCCTTCCGAGGCACTACTGGCCAGCGTGGAAGAGTAGGCCAAAAACTCTTCGAGGGGCTCTCTGGAACACCCAACGCGGAGATGACGCGTTGAAGTCAGCGAGTGTGCAGGTTGTCAGGCGGATCATTAAATCGCAGAATTGTGAGTGATGGCGACTGCTTTGGGAGGGGCCTTCATCTAGCAGCGGATTGAGACCTTGGTTGATGATGATCAAGCTTATTCAAATACCACAGAAAAGTCTAACGTGGTCCCTGTTCTGAATGAGTTCTTTGCGCATGAAAGACAGCACCTTACAAGTTTTTAGTTCCCACTGTGTTGAAGCGGGCGAATGCATTTGCCAACGATGGGCTCCCCCCCAAGGCCCACAGGTAAACCCTGGGGGTGTTTAATATTTGGTGTGGTTCATTGAATTCACGTAAAGTCACGTAGAAGGGAAATAATAAAATAATAAAAATAAAACATGATAAAATACAATTCTCACGACGTTTCGGCCACAACGCAAGCAGCCGCCCTCAGGTGAAGAACAGGGCTGTCGGAAAGATAGTGTCTGAAACACTGTCTGAAACACTGTCTTTCTGACAGCCCTGCTCTTCACCTGAGGACGGCTGCTTGCGTTGTGGCCGAAACGTTGTGAGAATTGTATTTGATTATGTTTTATTTTTATTATTTTCCTTCTACGTGACTTTACCGAAAGAACCAAGAAGATGAATCCCTGCAGTCACGAAAGCTTTAAATCGAAAAATGTAATTCACGTATTCCAGGCAATGGAGAGCGCAGGGTGCCCTAGACTACCCGGACCCATGCAAGAAGCACATGCGGGCCACATCCAACGACGCCCCGAACAAAAATTGAGCAGAAACTGGCATTGAGTTCCGCGGCAGATTTGTCACGGAAATATTTTAACCTGTCAAGCACGTCAACATGTGAGCAGCTGGATCGCACTCCCCATGACAGATGCTGAAGATCGTAAAATCTGGAGAGCGTGTGTTTTGGCCACCAACCGTCAGCTATGAGGATGAAACGTGACAAAAAGGTTGACATCAAACCGGGTGCCTAATACGACCGCACAGGTTTTTGCGGTTACGCTTTAAAGTTCTCCGATGCGTTTATAGCCGTCTCGTTTCGTGTCGTACAGCGATAGTGTGCCTGATGATTGTAAAACAGCCTATGGGCAATCCTTGACAACGAGGCGGGGTGGAAAACAATCAAGATGAGTATAAAGCAATATCCAGTCGCAAAAAAAAAACTAAACTAACTTGCGTCTTATAGTAGTAGGTTTTTACCCTTTAAACTGGTACAAAACTGACACCTTTATACAAGGCATCATGCTTGCAATAACCACAACACAAGTAGTCAAAATGCAAACAAAAAGAAACAACTCTGATGATGATAATGATATGCACTATCCTTGAAGTTGATTGGTCCACACCCGAGACAGCTTTCTTTAGAGCCTAGTCTCTATTGGTGTTGGACCAGATGATAAAGGTGTCAGTTTTGTACCAGTTTAAAGGGTAAAAACCTACTACTATATTTTGCCACTGGTAAAGGAGGTCTCATAGTGTAAATAACTTGCGTCTTGTTCAGAAGCAGGATTCTTCCTCAGCACGAAAGCCATCGGGACTCAAAGCCCAGGCCACAGTATCATCACGTCACCCACGACAAGTTTGTAATAGTGATTTGAAGCTTTCGTGACTGCAGGAATCCATACTCTTTGGTTCTTTCGGTAAAGTCACGTAGGTAGAAAATAAAAGAAATCACGACGTTTCGGGCGCAACACAAGCATCTGTCATCACCCGATGACTTTACCGAAAGAACCAAAGAGTATAGTTTGTAATAGCGACAGCTTTTTTTTTTTAATGAGAAGAAAATATGTCTCGGCTGTCTCGACCCACCGTAAGCGTTTGACACGACAGATCATCTTTTACTCGTCTCAAGATTTGAAGACTGCACCCCGTCAAGTGAAAAAGGTCACCGGCTGGTTTTCAAGTTAACTCGAGGGAAAGCGATGAAAATATGGCAGCAACGTATCAAATGTCTCCCGCGATCTACAGGGGAATTCCTCGCGGTGCAGCGCTCGGTGTGTTCCTGGCTAACCATTGACGGTATTAGTTCAGAGTTGACCCACTCCACACTTCGTTGTTATTCTGAAGAATATTATTTGACAAGCGTCATCGGGAAGCTCACCGAGATCCGGAGGAACGCTGCAGAGTGGAACAATGGGGATGTCCAAAATAAACGCCTCATCGTTCCTCAGTGCAGAGCACTGCATTGGATCTCATCCCGACTTCCTGGAGTTTCCCGATGATGCTTGATGCAGTTTCAAGCGAAACATCGCGTATCTGATTGCTGCCGAGTTTGTTGTACATTCGGTTGTCTATGTACGGTGCGAAAGAAGTTCAACAAACAGTAAAACCTTGGATTGCGAGTAACTTGGTCTGCGAGTGTTTTGCAAGACGAGCAAAATTTTTAAACAAATATTAATTTGATAAACGAGCGAGGTCTTGCAATACGAGTAGTACGTGTATACGCTTTGTCTGCCGAGCGTCACGTGATCACAACTGATACACGAGTGCTTTGGATTACAAACACGTTTCCGGAACGAATGATGCTCGCAATCCAAGGTTTTACTGTACATACATTTGGTTGTGATAACTTTTCTTCAAATCATCGGTGAGTGGTGATCTTAAATAACAACTGATGCTCTAATACGTGTGTAGGTGTGACAAATTAATTTATTTGGCTCTTTCAGATGGTGGAGGGTTCTTACAGAAATTTGTCCACATGTATTATGAACAATTATTATGATCTTGACTTAAAGCTTTCGTGACTGCAGGAATTCATACTCTTTGGGTCTTTTGGTAAAGTCACGTTATTATATTATTATGATTATTATGATATTTTGCTGATCATAAGTTCTTGACAGACATGATCCTCGTCAATTTGCCTTTGCGATCGACGTACAATCTGCACGAGTGGTACGAGCGTAGTTTGCATTGAAATTGCTCGTTACAAAAATATTTACATTGAGCGTGAGAACGAATTTCGATCGCTGAATGGATAAGCTGATGCTTCCCAACATTTTCACCGGGGACAGACGAATTCACCCGTCGTTTTCTCTCCTTCTCGACGGCTTCTCGCTCACGACGTACCTTCCCTTGGTGAGACGCAGCAGAAACCTCCAGTAGGACGGCCTCAGGTTGTGCACCTCCATGACGGCCTTCAAAAAACCCACACAGAGAGAGCGAGAGGCAACAACGAATGGCCCATGCGCGCCTGCGTCGTGGCAAGCGCTCCCACCGGGCACCTGCAGAGCCCAGAGTCGTGTCACGTCCTGATGTGGTTGAGATGTGTAAGTAGGTACGTCAAAATTATTTTGCACCGTACGTAGCCAACCGTGCTAATCGGAGGTGCCAGCACTGTGCACTTTGGTCACTTTGGTCTTCTTGGGCGCCGTGGTGGCGGGATGTTTAACTCCCTCGCATGTTTAACACGTAGGCTTTCGCGACCAATATCATCCATAATACAGGTTTTGTTGGGTTAGATCGCGTTGGCGTGGAATGCAGGAGGACTCTTCTTGGTTCTTTCGGTAAAGTCACGTAGAAGGAAAATAATAAAAATGTAACATTATAAAATAATTCTCACGACGTTTCGGCCACAACGCAAGCAGCCGTCCTCAGGTGAAGAACAGGTCTGAATTTCAGAAGACAGAGTCTGAATTTTAGACTGTCTTCTCGACAGACCTGTTCTTCACCTGAGGACGGCTGCTTGCATTGTGTCCGAAACGTCGTGAGAATTATTCAATGTTTTATTTTTATTATTTCCATTCTACGTGACTTTACCGAAAGAACCAAGAAGATGAATCCCTGCAGTCACTAAAGCTTTAAATCGATATTTAATGCAGGAGGACGTTGGTTCGATCCAGACCCTGACGACACCTGTATATTTGGGGTTTGCATGTTCTCCCCGTGGTCTCGCAGATATTTCTCCAGGTCCTCTGGTTTTTCCCTCTACATTTAGAATCAACATCACACGTTTAGAGTATCTGTCTGTTGTAAAATTTCCACATGATGATAAGCCACTTCGTTGAGATATCAGTTGTGGCCATGTCGCTTCTGAAAAATAGCTCAGTGGGCCTTACCTAGTAAAATAAAGATAGTTGATGAAATTTTGAATAGTTTTTTTGTTGACCAGGTCATTTAAATACATGTTCAGCATTTTTATCAATCCACTGCTGGATGAGGGACTCCCCCGTGCCACGTGCGTTGCGATGGGTAATAATTCAGCCTGGTCACATACCGATGACCGCACACACACAAAATACCACCACAATAAATTTGGTTTCGAGACTTAATTTGGCTACATTCCTTCGCTTGAACGAAAATATCTGTTTGACTGCCACACGAAAAACATTCCTATCACATGGGAGGGCAAGCGGGAATGTGCTGCCCATCTGTTGTGTGGATTAGGTCACTTTATTTTGGAATTTTTCATTTATTTTTCTCTGCCGTGTTATGTCTGTCACGGAAAGGGTGTGTTTTTTTTTCTTGATAAAACCCGACTTAAGAGCTTATTTTCTCACAGGTTACTTAAAAATAAACTTAACTCAACTTGAAGGGACCCCAGAGGTAGCTCTGTAATATTCGCTTCTGTGGGCCTTTCTCGAACGTGCAGGGTTTGCGCTGCTCCGTGACAAATCAGAATCGATACCTGACACCGATAGCACAATCGGAATACAATTTCAGTGTGGGGGGGGAGGGTAGGGAGGTAATTGACTTGTTGTGTAAAGTACCGCTTGGAAACAGATGGCGGTGGAGATGGCGTAGATGATGGTGTCAGCGTGCGGGAAGTACGGGAAGCTGCCCGCCTCGATCCCCTTGAAGTACAGCGTCTAGACGGTAGGCGCAGGTGACGTTATGTGAGAAATCACTCATTGTGTCAATACACTCTAAAGTGCCCCGTAGTTTTTTTTTTACGTGGATTGCTCTTACAACGGTGGCTAGCAATATGGTTTGTTTAACAGGGCTGATGAGACCCACAAGGTAGAAGCCGGCTCAGAGTTTGCTTGTTTAAAAAAGAAAACGCTGCTGGAAAACATTTTTTCCAAAAGGCCAAAAGGCCGATGGACTGAAAAAAAAACCCCAGACATTTTCTGTCTTTTTAAATCCTTTATATTAAGTTCGCTTGCTTGCTTGCGCGCTTACGACCGTGCAAATCTTTCGGTCGTTTTTTAACCCACTTCCCGTGATCCAATCCAGCTGACATTTTCGTTTCCAAAATTTTACACTTTTTAGGAAAAAATAAATTATATTTAATTACCAATTGCTTAATGGTGGCAGGCAATCATCTGACCCATAGGTGGCAGCCATCTCAAGCCAGAGGACGAGAGGACTCTAGCCGCCACGCATATAAAGGATTTATAGTGAAAAACTTTGTTTTTATGGGTTAATTTTTCATTGTTATATTTGGGGAAATGCCTGCATTAACATGTGGAGCAAGTCAACATGAGGACAAAGTGAATATGTTCACACGGCTGAGAAATCGGGGGAAAGCATCAGAATACATCGCAAGCATGATGCGCTTGCCTTCACAGAATTCTGGTAAAGCCCACCAGCATGAAATAAAAAAGGCAACAAGAATTAGTCAAATGAACTCCCAATTTGCCCCCTGTTGCTCAATCAAGCAACGTCGTGGTGCTCATCTCCGCTGGATAGCTCCGAGCCTGTGATGGGAATTGAATGTTCCCATGATGGCCAGTTTATCCGCACAATTTATTTCCCACGGCACCATGAGATGCTTAGACATTTCGCATGGTGAAACGGCCCCGTGTTCTACTCGATCTATTGACCGCGCGAGGGATGCTAGGCTGGAAGCATTTCGTCAACAAAGCGTTGTTTTCGTGCCTGAGCTGAGCAACCTACCTCCACAAGTTTGGAGGACAGGTACATGGAAATGGAGGTGCTCTTGTAGAACATCATCGACAGGCCGGCAACAAAGCCTACACAACAGAACAAGGGTATCCTTCATTGATGACGTGAAACACATGGGATACAAACAGTGCTCTCACACTGGCCCACTGCGTTGTCTGTGAGGCTTACATGTGTAGAGAAGTTCCTGACGTACGTACTCGTAGACGGAGGTAAGTTAAGGGCTTCCGCCAGGGTTTATTAAAGCTGTTACAATTTTACACAGCAGGGTACACAACTCCCAGGGGCTAGGGGTCCTACTCTGAGTCCGGGTCCCTGCCGGCTAGCTCCGGTCTCTCTCGTGTCGGATCGTGGAGTCTGCCGACTCCACCGACCGGAGAGAGAAGCACCTCTACGGCTACCACCGGCTTCTCCCCAGACTCACCACTAGATCCCTCTCTCTACCCCTGGTTCCCTCTTCACCCTTCTTACTCTACCCGTTCCCACAGTGACCCCGCTTATGTCACGGGGTATCCCTTAAATACCCTAGAAGACGTGACGTCATCGCACTGAACGGCACACCTGACGTGGCCTGGTGGCCGCGGGTAAGAATTGCAGCGATGAGGGCAGGCAGGGTCAAGTGGGGTAACTGGGTGAGGAGTCAATGCGGGGAGGCGGGCGGGGTAGGGAGGAACCCGTGAGGTGCTAGCGAGGCGAGGAAAAAACTCCGACAGAAGAGGGTTCGGGAAAAGGGGCGTGGCCCAGCCGAAGTGAGATCTAAGGGAGCGGGTAGCGGGGCTCGGGGCTGCCGTGGGGATTCGGGGTCCGGGCCGTCGTCGCACTCATCACTGTGGATCGCCCTCATCGTCTTGGAAGGCTGGTGAAGGGAGTTATACATCTTCGCCGTGGCTACCACATCGACGGCTCCTATATACCATTAGAACCTCATTTGCCAGTAAAAATATGATAATTGCTTTTTTTACCCTTCTATATGGCAACAAAACTGACACCTTTTTTACAACAAGGAGTCATGTTTACATAGACCACAATACCTGCAGCCATAATGCAAACAAAAAACATAACTGATAATGTGCACTGTCCTTGAAGTTGATTGGTCCACACCCGAGACAGCTTTCCTTAGAGCCTAGTCTCACATGGGTTGGACCAGATGACGTCAAAAGGCGCACAACTCAAAGACAAGGCACCATCAGAGTATGAGAGCTCGGGGTAAGCATTTACACCATTGGAACCTCATTTGCCAGTAAAAATATATCAGTCAGCTGTATAGCAAGCGTCGTGTAGCAGCTACATAGAGTGACCCAGTTGTATATAGTCAACCTGCGTCCAACTGATAACATGTCAAGGCGGGTGGACTATTTATATAATAAATATATATATATAACTTCAGCAAGACTGCGTCTCCGAGTGCTACACTACACATGTTGTCAAAAGTCAACGTGCGCCTGTACTCAAACGAACACTGGGTGGTGCTCATCTTCAGAGGTTATCTCGTGTCAGCGATGGAAATTCCACATTCCTATGGTAGGGCCTTATACTCCCCTTTACAAAACCACCTCCCACTGATGACATTTTATGAAATGGTGATGTCCCACTAGGTGGTAGGATGATGGCATGAGTTGATACCGGCAAAACATTTCAGCCCATATTTCATTACAGAGGGTTCTGCTGGCCTAAACAATAGTTTATGACCATATCGATTAAACTTTTATGTTTGTTATTTCTTCTCTGAACTAGCCGATATGAAAAAAAGAATGTAAATAATAATTTTAATCATGTATTTACACGATGGTAATCAACATATTTTTACACTTGGTTACATGATGATGATGCACGATGCATCATGCCTGGGCCTTTCGCAAACCCGTGTCAATGACTCGACAATTCATTGGCTTTTACCCAAAATTACAGCAACTTCCTTCTGCCCACGAGATCTTATCTTATTTTATATTCATATAGAGCAGCTTTGATGAAAACGATGAACATACTTAAACAAACCGGTATAAACAAATAAATTACAGGTAGTCCCCGACTTACGATGGAGACGCGTTACGACGACCCCATCGTAAGTCGAAAATACCGTAAGTCGAAAATGGCCTAGCCTACCTAGGAGTCTTAAAGAATGGTGATAATTTAGCAAACCAGAGCAATTTACAGTACCGTACTGTATAAACTATATGCGTACAGTACATCCCGGCAGCGTCCCAACGTACAGTATCGTATTCTTAAGTTTTTTCGGTAAAGTCACGTAGGTAAAAAATTAAAATTAATAAAAGTAAAATAAAAATAAAAATCACGACGTTTCGGAGGCAACACAAGCTGTATCAAGTAATTTACTTGATATAGCTATCGGGCTGTGACAGTTCCACCTGAAGACAAGCTTGTGTTGCCTCCGAAACGTCGTGATTTTGATTTTGATTTTACTTTTATTAATTTAAATTTAAATTTTTACCTACGTGACTTTACCGAAAAAACCTAAGAATATGAATCCTTGCAGTCACGAAAGCTTCAAATCTAGAAGTACAGTATCGTACCTCGTACGCTGCTGCGTTTACCTGCCGCGCGAAATGTAAAATATTTTACAATTTTGTCGTATCGCTATCGCCATCGTGAGATCGAAATATCGTAAGTCGGACCATCGTAAGTCGGGGACTACCTGTATCTAGATGGCAGGGGCGTGCAATGGATGAGGAATGGGTGACCACAATAGTGGGTGAGCAGGGGTAAGGAAAGCGTAGGGAAGGAAATAAATTGAGGTGGCGGGATGTCAACTACCTCGCCTGGCATACAGGAATTAGTGGGTTCGATCCCAACCCTGGTACCTGTATATTTGGAGTGTGCATGTTCTCCCCGTGGTCATGTGGATTTTTCTCCGGGTCCTCCACTTTTTCCCTCCACATTCCGAATGAACATGCGTTAAAGACTATTTGGCTGCTCCTATAAATTTCCGTACCATAAGTCACTTCATTGAGCTGTCATTTGTGATGGCCAGGTCACTTCTGAAACAGAGCTACATAGCTCAGTGGGGCCTTACCTGGTCAAATAAAAAATAGTTACGTTTAGTTAGTTCAAGAGAATGGGCAACGGAGAAGAGGTGAGGTTTAAATGAAGGATGGAAAGAGGTGAAGGAGGGAGTTGTTCAAGTTTCCCTTGCCTTGTTTGACCCGCAGGGACCAGAAAAACGTGAACACAATCTTCATTAACAATGGCCTACGAACTTTTGTTTTATAATTTTTAATCAACATTTAGCTCTACAGGTCGCCAAACTACATTTTATATACTTTGTACGTAGAACTTCTTTCGCACCTTACGTAGCCAACCGTGATAATCGGAGTTGCGAATTTTACGGCAGAGTTACTGAGGAATCTTTAGAGGTTTTTTTTTTGCGTTCAGCGCGTTACGATGAGCAAGACGCCCGTGTACGGGCGGTGTCAGCCGAGCGTGGGAACGAATACGAACCGAATCGCGACGCAGGTAACGTAACCGACGGCATTCACAACACACTGCTTCCTGACCCGCCCCGACTGGACATCTGTGAAAAAGAGCTTCATAAATTTCGATTTAAAGCTTTCGTGACTGCAGGGAATCATCTTCTTGGTTCTTTCGGTAAAGTCACGTAGAAGGAAAATAATAAAATAATAAAAATAAAACAAAATAAAATAATTATGACGACGTTTCGGCCACAACGCAAGCAGCCGTCCTCAGGTGAAGAACAGGTCTGTCGGAAAGACAGCGTCTGAATGCTTTCCGACAGACCTGTTCTTCACCTGAGGACAGCTGCTTGCGTTGTGGCCGAAACATCGTGAGAATTATTTTATTATGTTTTATTTTTATTATTTTATTATTTCCCTTCTACGTGACTTTACCGTAAGAACCAAGAAGAAGAGCTTCATAGCCCATCGGATTTCTCGAGGATCAATAAAAATTCCGATTCTAAATAAAGTGACACACGCGGGCGCCTCTCACCGGCGAGAAGTGCGTGCAGCTCGTCGTCCAAATTCCTCATCCATCTCAGGAGGCAGCTGGTCCCCTGCATTACAAAAAACAAGCACACGGGCACACAACGCCACGCACCGGCAAGCTCTCAGTCGCTGGCGCCACGGTACGCGCGTTGCGTGCCCCGTTAAGACGCCCGTCGAGGCCACCTGCAGTGGTCGTACTTCACCCGCTGGAGGTCACGGTACACGCCGCAACTGATGCACTGCAGAGGACTGCAGAGGCCTGCAGCGCATTGCAGCGGTGTGGGTGCTGCAAGCATGTGCTGTATCACTGTGCATCGCATCTCTTCTATCTATATATAATTCACGAGTTCAAACATAACCACAACTCTTTGAAGCTCTTAGTAGTTGGACCTCCCTTGCAATAATTTCTCCAAGTAGAATCCAGTACGCTTTCATTTCAGCACTGTTGCAGACGCCATTCCGAGTGAGAGGGTAAACTTCACTTAACTTATTTTCTGTGCACATGTGTGGGCAGTGCCTGTCTCTCACATCATTTCCCATTGCATCTATTCTCCATTTCTTCTGTCCTTATTCTGAAAATAGCACTGTCTTATGTATTTTAACTTCTTTCGCACCGCACGTAGCCAACCGTGCTTATTGGAGTTGCGGGAGGCACGGTCCTCCGAATACATATCCTGTCCCTTGTATGTCCCTCTTCTGAATACGTCTTCCATCTTTCTCATTATTTATCTGATAAAAGTCTGCGGCCTGTGGCTCTTGGAGCACCAGTCAATTTTGCCCCAACAAACCCAAAGAGTTTGGACGCTCCCCAATGATCGCGTGAATTGTATTTTCCGGCTCCTCTGGTTTTTCCCTCTACATTCAGGAACATGCGTCATTTAGATTATTTTGCTGCTGTGAATTTCCAGATGATGAGCCACGCCGTTGAGCTATCATTTGTGGCAAGGTTACTTCTGGAAAAGATGCTAATGGCTCAGTGGGCCTTACCTATTATGATAAAAACTAGTTTAGTTTTATTCGTATATTTTTTGAAAGCGATTTGTTTACATTGCCTATAATTTCCACTCCTATCGTGTGTTTGTATTATTTGTTGATGTAACGTTCTGACCCGACCCCTGACTGGACACCTGTGAACAAGATCTTCATAGCTCATCGGATTCCTCCAGTATCAATATTCTGATTGTGATTCTATTTAAAGCGGTGACGTCACTGCATCACCACGCGCACAGTTGTCAGGGTCGCAGGGCCGCACTCGGGCCTGCGCGGAGCACCTTGTAGAGGCTGACAAAGGACCCGAGGAAGGCCCCGAGGCGGAGGTTTTCACGGTGCACGAGCGTGGGGAGGACGCGCGAGGGCCGTGTGAACAGGTGGCGAATGGCGGCCGGCACGCGCAGGCAGCACTGGATCAAGTAGCCGACGCTGAACATCCGCACGAACGCCTGACGCGCATGCCAACGGTGAAATCACACACACAATCACACACACGAGCAGCGCAATCAAATAAAACGCAGCGCCATCACTCTCACCGACACAAAACCAGCAGAATCTTACTTGCACGAATAGCACAATCACACACACGGACAGCTCAATCGCACAAACGCAGAGTGCATAGTAGGTAGGCCTGCATGAATGTCTCAATTCGGTGCAGGTTGCTCCGGTAAAAAGAGGTCCACGTTTTCCTAGCGTGGAGCAAAGAGGTCAATGACCGTGGCCGAGAATACAGGTGTGGGTGGATGCTGTCCCAGGGTCACGTCGGGTAACGCAAGAGATTATATATGTGCCTAACAGAATAGCCTCGACCATCAAAGGATCCAGAGCTCACCTTGAAGCTGTAATAGATGCAGTTTTCATTGTGATGCTTGCAGCATCGATGCCTTGGGCCACTCTTGACGCTGCACGCAGTTGGCCGGAAACAACGACAAAAGACATTAATCACTGTTGGCCATCGCTTATCTCCATATCATATATATATAAAAGGCAAAGTTGTGATTATGTGTGTCTGTTCAAAAAAGTTTAGCGTACTTCCCGACATGCAACAAACGGGAAATTTGCCATGTGGGTACTTTCCAGAATGTACACCATGCAAAAATGATAAAAATACACTTTGGGTTTTTTTTTGGGGGGGAAGCTCAATAATGCATTGATTTTTTGCACAGCAAGTGAGCTGTGACATCAAATCTGTCACGTGACCCGCACATGTGGAAGCGTAACACATTGTGGTGTAGTGGTTAGCGCGCTGCGCTACAAACCCGGCGACCTGAGTTCGATTCCCGCTCACGGCCACCACCGGTGACAATTATTTTAACCTGCTCCTGGGCCTCCCCTAGGTCGACTCAGCCTCAAACGAGTAACTGCTGTGGTGTGTGAACATTGCCACTGGGGAGACAAAGGCGGCCGGGCGTGGTGAATTGCAAGTCCCCGGGCGAAGCCAGGGTAGTCAAGCTAGTTTCACTATAAGAGAGACTTGCTTATTCACACAAGCTTGGGAGGAAATGCAAGTTTTGCCTTCGAGCGTTATTTACGGACAGCAAGTTACGGACATACGTATGTTTGTTGAACGTCTTTCGCACCATACGTAGCCAACCGTGCTGATCGGAGGTGCGGGACAACCGAGAAGTTAAGACGCGTTTGTCGAAAGTGGCCGAAAGTGAGACACACGGGTGGTGGGGTACGGCGGTGGGTGTGAGGATATCGCAGAAGCGGCGACGAGCGAGGAAGTGGTGAGGATGGCAGCGCTGTCAGCAGGAGCGGAGCGGAGAGAGTAAAGGGGATGACTGCGTGTGAGCGGGGAGTGGGAAGTGAGCGCGAAGGATGCGGTGACTGTGCATGAGTGGGCAGCGTGCAGTAAATGCGCAAGTTCAATCATGCAGTTTTCTCAGAATAGTGTCGCTAACATCATCACTGCTCTCGACTCTATCGCTTCACTCATCGTGACCTGCAGCAGTAGGGAAATAATTGACATCCGTCTTTGGATGCTTTGCTTGTTGCAGCTGTAAAAAACACGTTCCTTCAGAGTGGGCAGGTAGGAACTTGATTGGACAGCGCATTCGTGCACGACAGACTAAATATGCCCGACAGACAGACAAATAATCCCTGGTGGGCAGTGTGGAATCTGTTGTTCCTACCTGTAAAAGGTCCCCTGATTGGACAGATCAGGTCACAAGTGTGGTCGTTGCTGTGGCAACAACAACAAATTGAAAATCGAAATGGTGGAAATGTTTTCACGTTTGAAGCAATTGACGTGTTCAATTATGAGAATCCATATTACACACTCTCCCCTTTGCTATTTCCGATACACTTTCTTACTTGAATTTATTTTGCTTCTGAGTTCCTCCTCGGTAACACTTTCCCACTATGGCTGAGAGTGTGTATGCATTACCTCTGTCCATAATCGGATGGACACTATAACGCTAGTATCAATGATGCAATATAGACAATGCTTTGGTATAAACGTGCGTCGCTACTGGGGACTTGGCGCACTGAAGACCATCACAATTTACAAGCTTTGCCGAAACTTTAGAGACATAAAACCAGAGGCAAGAAAAAAGACAACATGCATACGCGCAAACGCGTTTTATCCTGACAGCTCCCCGCCCGCTTCGCTGGTGCCAACACTTCCAGGATCAAATCCACGTTGCAATTGTTAGAGAGAATCCTTGCGCATGGTATGGTTTTTCTTAACACGTCTTTGTTGCAGTACAGGTCGAGGAGTGGGACTTTCCTTGCTTAGGGTCCCCCTTGCCCGGTTCAGGTGAGCTCCTTGGCCTTGGGCTGTCCAGGCCAATGGGAGGAGAGTCTTGGGAGGTCTGACCTTAGAGCTCCTTGAGACTTCATTAACAATTAAAGAAATGGGGCTGTGCACATTTGTGAACGGCAAAGGGAGAGTTGCACGGTTTTAACTACGGGGAGGACTATGAGGAAGGGCCATCGTCACAATGCCTGCTCATAAACATTTCTTCTTTTTTTAGGACACCTTAATTCAAAATCACAATATTTATTTATGCTGGAGGAATCCGATGAGCTATAAAGCATTTTTTTTTTTATCACAGATGACCAGTAGGGGCACTGGGGTCAGATCGTTGCATTGACAAACTTATTTTTAGCTCTTCTTGGTTCTTTCGGTAAAGTCACGTGACTTTACCGAAAGAACCAAGAAGATGAATCCCTGCAGTCACGAAAGCTTTAAATCGAACCACGGCGGGCCTCTAGGTCTGAGCGTGCAGGACGGTGTCCCCGGGCACCACGGCAACGTTTATCACGCGGCGTAAGCCCCCACCCCCCACCCCCGGCGCGCGCATCATTCACAGACGGACCGCGCGCTCATTACAGGAGGCGGACGAGGTAGCGGATGAGTGCCAGGCGGGACGGCCTGTGGCCAGGGATCGCCGCCGCCGCTGCCGCCACCGCCGCCGGTCGCTCCGAGTCGTCGGCACGTGCCGCGGCCACCCGGTCCCCTGTCAACGCCTCGGGGGTGTGGTCCAGCCGCTCCTCCTTGCCCACCAGGAACCTGCGGTGCGCGCAAGCGCACGCGATGACGCGACATCAAGTTCAAGCTCATTTATTTATTTTATTAGGTATAGCCCTGTGAGCCATTCGGCGCTTGAATCGGGTGCAACTGCAACAAACAGAAAACAAAAACATGAACAAGAAAACATCTTAAAGTGACTATGTGCAAACAGAAAATCCAAGAAAAGACAGCAAAATATTGCAGAAAAAGCACCATACACCAACACTGTGTGCAAAAATCGCAGTGGGATGCAAGTCAAACAACAACAACAACCACAAGACAACTTAGATTAAGGCCATCAGTCTAACTCTGTACTACAACAAACAAACACGGCCAAACCAAAAAACATGACGTGGGGCAACCGTTGTCGCACACCGCTCAACGCCGGCGACGCATTTCATTCGACTGATGAGAGGGCGGTATGGTTCAGATTTCACGGATTATTTAAAAGCTGATGTTTTATTTTAATTCAATATACACTTGAAAACACCCACATAAAAACTTTGGAAGTTAACTGATTCCCCCCTCCTTGTTTTGGGGTGGGGGGCCTAACCATTTAACTCTTGGATTTCAGAGTCTCCTAGGAATAATAATAATAGGTAGGTTACAAGGACAATGGGGTTGCATTTGTATTCTATTGTATTCTAGAAACACTGGTCCCTGCCATGAGAATGTGGAGATGAGTGCGAACCCATTGCTGGGTTAAAAACACGGTGATACTTTGGCTCGATCGTATTTACACGCTTCAAATGTCTGCCCATGACCAAACTCGACGGATCTCGACAAATCTCGAAAGCTACGCAGCACTGTGGAGAGAGCGATCACCGTGCAAAACAGCTGTTATAGGTTGCGGGAAGCAGAGGGCATTGCAGAGAAAACCATTGTCGGACTGTGGTTCTATGCTCCTGTGGTCCTACGCTCCCCGCCTTCACCAAGCTGCACTGACCAGCGTGGTGAAGTACGGTCAAATAACCCCCGCAACCAGCACAGCGTGCAGAGGCCATCATCCAGCAGTGGATTGCAATTACTCATCACGGCAGAGGCAGACAAAAACACGCTCGCGGGCACTGAATCTCGGTGGGAACTTGTTGATTCAAAGCGAGGGACCTGCAAGAAGCCTGGGGTACCGTGTAGGTCAGCGTGGGGAGGTTATATTTGCGTTCGCAAACGTAAGGTGCGCAGAGGAATAACTCGAATTCGGAAAGAATTTGGCCATGGGAAATTAACAAAAAAAAATCAAACGCACGGGAACACTGCAGGTGGTGACTAAACGGCAATGCCAGGAAGTGAATTCTTTAAAGGAAACATATTTGTGGTATTTAAGTGGAGAAAAAAGTTTACATTGGCCATTTTGGCTCTGCTGTTTCCATAACAAGCAATGGCATTGTTTTCGAAGTTATATTTAATCATTAAATATGTCTGATCTCCATGTCTGTCCAGCAACAGCAGTCGTCATTTACCATGAAGTGGCAGTGGTGTCATCACAGCCAACGCCTGTGCGAAGCTAGGTGTTGCCTTCCATGCGGTGGCAATGGACAGGGTGATCCATTTATAGATGCCCTACTGATTTTTTTTGTGACCCTATGGTAATTGAATATTGTGAAAGTGATGGGCCCCCATATCTCACAGAGGAGAGTGTCGATAGATGGTTTGCTGTATGCGTGGAGGATATGCTACAAAATGTTTTCTTTTCCGTCTCCATATTTATGCTGGGCGGTGGTTTTGTATTGTTGTAACTTTCTGATCTGCCCCTACTCTGGACAGTTTCAATAAAGATTCTGATTCTGGCCGGCGGTGGCTATGCATGTGGCTTCTAGATTTGAAGCTTTCGTGACTGCAAGGAATCATACTCTTAGGTTTTTTCGGTAAAGTCACGAAGGTAAAAAATAAATAATAAAAGATAAACAATAAAAATAATAGAATAAATAATAGAAATAAAATAACAAATCACGACGTTTCGTCATGTTGCCTCCGAAAACGTCGTGATTTATTATTTTATTTCTATTAATGATCTTTTATAATTAATTTTTTACCTACATGACTTTACCGAAAAAACCTAAGAGTATGCATGTGGCCTTTAAGCCAGCGCTGTGGAGGCAGCAGCAGCGAGGTTCGGTGGATCACCGCACGCACGGGGCCGGATTAAGGCACGGGGGGGAGGGCTTTAGGGGCTGCAGCCCAGGGGCCTCCGCCAGATGAAGTAAAAAGTTAATTAATTTGTGAATGCTGAATTTTATTTGTTGTTAGCTTTGTAAAAATACATTAGATTTTTTCTTTCCTTTTTCTTGGTTCTTTCGGTAAAGTCACGTAGAAGGGGAACAAAAAATATGTTTATTATTTTATTATTTCCCTTCTACGTGACTTTCCCGAAAGAACCAAGAATATGAATCCCTGCAGTCACGAAAGCTTAAAATCAAAATTAATTTTCCTTTTGAAAATATTACTGTAGCCCTTGGGCCTACACAATCTGAATCCGGCCCTGCGCACAAATGTTGTGAAATTCCCTCCCCTCGGGCGTCGAGGAGATGCCCTTACCCTGGCTTGCCAAGAGAAGGCGGTACAGCAAACGTGGACTCATAATTTCTCCCTTCTGTATGGGATAGAGTGTTGCAACCTCGCAGGCGTAGGTTTTCTCATTAATTGACCAAAACAAATCCTAACATGGAGAGGGCAGCACAGCTTTGGGCAATTGTTTGGCAAATGGCTGAACACCTTTGGCTGCTGCTTTTCTGCTTGCCTGCGGTTCCTCGTGCCTCTGGGTGGCTCTCTCTCTCCACGAGCGCGAGCGCTACGAGCTGAAATTATTACTCGTTCTAGTGGGGTATCTGTACACAGATCACACTGTGTAACGTGCACCGTATAGAGCCATCGTGTCCGCAGGTGAGAACACCGCCAACAAGGCGCTGCGCTTTTGAGTGAGGGGGGAAACCTGAGCGTGATCCAATGTATGTCAGTCACAGCCATGGACGAGGCCCTCCCAATGCTGTGTGGGTAATTTGGCCAAACTTGACAAGGCTTGGCGAAAACGGTGCACATAGACGTCGGAGCATAGTTCAGCACAACAATGGATACTGCTGGAACATGCCCATTATGATCTCTCTGGCCAGCTTCCGAAAGGTCCCCTACCATGGCCTCCCCCGTGCGTCAAACGATTCTGCACCTCCGTGGACTATAGTCGTAAAGGGATCTATTCACTCGATATTTTGTTCAACAAAATGCCCAGAAATAACATTGTTCGCGCGCCGATGGCTTTACAAACAAGTTTGGCGATGTTATTAACACTTGAGCTCGGACACTTAATACCCACAGGGGAACTTCAACACGTGCGTGCATTCAAAGGTTCAGAGTGCAAACGGCTTTTGAAATGTGATGCCTATATATATTTTTTTTTAATACCTGACGCGCGAGCACATGGAGCCACTTTGCTCCTGCAAAAGTGAAAACTAACTTCAGGAAACAACCTCATTGTGCCGGATAAGCTAGTCGAATCGCGCGCGGCTGCATCGACTCAAGAGCCGCGCTTTGCTTTTGAATGGTTCGGTAATCTAACACTGGCATTACGAATCCTTCGAGAGCCCGGGTATGTCCAATATATAACTTGTAGGGGATGTCCCTTTGCAACAATGACAAGTGTGCATGAAACCTACTTCAATGCCGAGAATGAGAAGCCCTTGAGACCATCTTTACACCTGCGGGGAAAAGTACAAATACGTTAAAAATTATTATCTTAGGCCACGTAAATACAAAGCAATGTTTATGAGTCACATGACTTGGCCATGTTACCATCATCATCATCGTCGTCATCAAGTCCACTGCCTATGAGTTGTTCATTCCACTGCAGAACGGTTGACTGGGACTTGACAAGTAGATGAGAAACCTGAGTGAGAGGCTGAACATTTTTATTGCGTCTCGGCGCGCACCGCACCAACACAAACTTGGCATTGTGTTCGGGTTTCTATTCTTTATTCGAACGACAGCTTATAAAAGTTGACGAGCAAAAGGCCACGGAAAATGTTTAACCCACTGCATTATTGCACCCCAGTGGATTTCCGACAGCCAACCCTGTCCCAATTCCCCGCTGTTTAGTAAATTGCCGGCAACGTAAGTTGCTCCGCGTTATTTATGGGGGACCGTATTTGAGAGCTGGTCGCGAAAGCGTCGTTAAGTATTTCCAGGTTTAACCTTTTATTGCCGCCCATTTCAAAATGCCAGGCTAATGATGGTTGCGAAGCCAAGGCGATGTGGGTTTAAAGTTACTGTAATTTTAAACGGCACAAAAATCCAACAGCTCTCCTTATATTTCTGGCTTTCCATACACCCACCACCCTTCCCCGTAACATCTCTCACCACCCCCTCTTAATTGCTATCGGCAACATCTGTGATTGCAAGATGTAACATTCGTGCTTCGAGATCCCGTAGCAATCGGGCGTGACATCCTGTGCCAGTGTGACCGCAAAGAAGATGACATCGCACAAGTAGCCGTTTCTTCTTCGAGTTTGATCCCGACGTGCGTTCAATATGTGCCACGGGGTTCGTAGAGCAGCGCACCAACCGCTACACTACCACTCCCACTAATTACACACACACACACACACAGATGCACTTGGCTTGCCATGCTCGATTTAGGTAATTGCCAACAAACACACGAAGACCCCCCGCCGATATAGCCTGAACAGACTGTTGGAAGAAGTGCTGCAAAACGAGCACCTATGAAGGCCGGTCACGGCACTCTAGGGGGTGGGTGGCCAGCACCACGCGGGACCGCCTTTGTCTCCCCAGAGCCAATGTTCACATCCTGCACCAGGTACTCATTTAAGGCCGAGTCGACATCGGAAAAGCCCACGGCCAATTCAAATGTCACTGGTGTTGGCCGTGAGCGGGAATCGGACTCGGGTCGCAGGGTTCGTAGCACCGCACGCCAACTGCTACACTACCGCTCCCCTACACAAAAACAATACACACACAGACACACACACAATGACAAGGGTTTAGCTACGACAAAGCAATTTCAAGGAGGCACTGATGCTCATCTGCTGTTCGCAGCCCTGCAAAAGCCAGTGGTGGAGATTCCACTCTCCCATGGTGCGGGGGCATGTCTATCCGTAGGACGGACAACTGGTGTTCAAGTGGTACCCAATTTATCACGCCAGAGGGATGATGTAAGTATGTTGAACTTATTTCGCAGAGTATGTCGCCAACCGTGCTAATCGGAGGGGCAGGACCTTTGATTTAGTACGGTTGGCACGGTTCAGGCTATGATGAGCAAAGTCGACCCCAAACTAGGAATTGAACTCGTGACCTTCCGACTGCGAGCCGCTTGCTCTACGGCCGAGGCACTGGGCAGGCTAGTTCTGAGCCACACGCGATAACAATGTTGATAGACATGGATATAGCGCCTAAATACAATGGAAACTTGAGACACTATACGTGGGCTAGAAGAGGGAAAGTGCTGACACACATAAACACACACAGGGTGGCGGGAGACCAAAATCCCAAGCTGCTCGCTCAAGTCTAACTGAAATGTTAACTACCTCGCCTGGTATACAGGTCGTGGGTTCCATACCCACGGAGTTTGCGGTGTCTCTCTTTCTGTGGTGTGCGGATTTTTCTCCGGGTCCTCTGGTTTTTCCCTCCACATTTAGAAACATGCATTTAGAGTATTTGGTTGCGATACATTTCCACATGATAACCACTTCAATGAGCTATCAATTGTGGCCAGGTCAACTCTGAAACAGAGCTGTACAGCTCAGTGGGCCTTACCTGATAATAAAAAAAATAGTTTTTAGTTTAACAGTTAGTAGGATAAAAAAATAATTTGATACTTAACCAGGAACAAAAAAAAGCCAGATTATTCATGACAAAAGTTTGTTCTCGTCGTTTACAGAGTGCTAATGAAGCCGTCAAACATCACGGCGCTACGGCGCTGACTGTCGCCCAGCGTCAGGCCAAAACCACCGGGAGACATCGCTTTGAAATCTGAATCCGAAACCGCGTCGCAACCGGCGCAGGGGGAACAAACCCCTTGTGGGCGCCGAGCATGTTTTACACGACAGGGCACGTGCCGGTAACACCCCCGACATCTCTGATCTTTCGCGCTACTGCGGGGCACTATGATTATCGTTATTATCAAAGCGCGCCGTCGGCTGCGAGGCTCGTTGAACACCGCGCGACGAGTTTGATGGCGCTCGCCACCGTGGTGGTGTCTCTGTCACCGAATCGGCGCCCGCCTGTGACCCTCGGGATTTCTGTTCCTCGCGTTTCTTTTGTAATTTTTACGCGCAGAATTTAACCCCCGGGGTCGTGCGCTATTGGCGCTGCGCCGATGGAATACCACACATTTGGATGTTTCGCGCGGCAGTGCAAACCGTTCATCTATCGGAGAACGGCCGGTGGAAGCGGACATCACGGAGTCTGCTTCCGTGATGGCTGCTGGTCCGCACCATAGAGGGCAGCACTTTCCCACCTGCCCTGCCCACCCATGAGGGAAAATAAATGTATTGGCGGTATAAAAAAAATAGCTAAATGTTCACAATTATTATTTATTTTCCCGCAATTCGCAACCCCGGTCAGAAAATCTTGCGGGGTGGTGGTGCGTCAAAATCAGTTCTCGTCACGTCGAAACAGTCGGAAGACGAATGTCAGTTCAAATTGATATTACGGACTGTTTTACGAGAACCGGTGTGTTACACTGCACCGGTGTAACCGCCAATACGTCCCAATGTTCGTTGCCCGACAGTCAAAGCGACATTGACATTTTTCGGAGCTCCAATTTAGCCAAATTATTTGCAGAATCAACGTTCATGTGAATGGGGTATTTTTGTGCTGGTGACCGTGCAGAGATAATCAACTCTCTACACTTAAGCAACCGCTTTTAATCGCTGGCGGCTGCCTGGATTTGAACCCAGGATCTCTATTTATTTAAAACTAAACAAAAAATATTTTACCAGGGTAAATCCCACTGAGCTATGTAACACTTTTTCAGAAGCGACCTGTCTCCCACTAATGATAGCTCAGCGAAATCGGCTTATCACGTTGAAATGTATAGCAGCCAAATACTTAAAAACGCATGTGTCTAAATGTAGAGAGAAAAACAGGAGGACCCGGAAAAAAATTCATGCGACCACAGGGAGAACATGCAAACTGCAGCAGGCGTCAGGGTCGGGATCGAACCCAAGACCTCCTGTATACCAGGTGAGGTAGTTAAAATCTCGCAACCGTGGTGAACCGGCGGTGCCAAGTGCAGCATGCTCTGACCTCTCAGCCACCTGGCCACGTCACAATTTTGATTTCAATCTGGGCATAAGCCCATATCACTTTGCATCCTGGGACACATGTTTGTGCCAACAAGTGTCTGCGGCTCAGCATCAAATTTGTACAATGCACAAAGCTACCAAAGTCAAATATGCCCTCATGTTGCCGGGTGAGTTATCCAAATCGGATGCGCAATGCATTCTGGGGAGACTTTAAGCCATATTGCAATGTGTTTATCCCATCTCTTCGGTAAAGTCACGTAGGTAGACTAAATAAGCTTGAAATCAAAATTTATTAATTTATGTCAAAATCTCAGGTGCGCGGTTAATCCACAACTTGGATAAACCGCACGCGGCTAATCGACTCTACTGTTTCTATCTTTTTATGAAACAGTGCATATCACCTCGCAATCATGTTGCATGATATCAGAAACATGGACATTAACGACGAAATGGAAAGTGTGTAAGGAATGGAAAGTGTACAGAGAGGCATGCAGAGGTTCCAAATTGGAATTAGAATGAGGCAGAAAGAGGAACACCTGCATCAGAGAACTTGCACAAAGTTTGAGTACATCATTATGTCTTCATACACCAGTGGATAAAGCATGGCGAAGATAATAAAGGCATGAAGACGTGCATGCTTGGCAACAAACGCAAATCAGATGCAGCATATTGGTATTCATCCAGCAGTATATAGATCGTGGTTGTTGATGACGATGATGAAGACAAGTGACTTAGGCCTACTCTGGACTCACTCCCGATTCATTATCTGGGGATGTGTGAGGACACGGGCAGGGAAACCAGGCGAGGCAGGCTTGGTCCGAGGGGCACTAGGTCTCAACTATGTTTATGTTTACACAATTAACAAGCTATTAGGTACTCTTTGGTTCTTTCGGTAAAGTCACGTAGGTATAAAATAAAACAAAATAACTACGTGACTTTACCGAAAGAACCAAAGAGTATGGATTCCTGCAGTCACGAAAGCTTCAAATCAAGCTAATAGTATACATTATAAATGCATTTACATCACACATAATCATGCCATCGTCTGTGATAAATAATATATCGATGTCACACACACATAGATCAAGACGCGAAAATTCGCTTCTGCATGAACAGGCACGGAACGAGAGCACAGCTTCGCCGAGCTCGCTCGGTAAAGTGGCTTTCTGGGACAAACAACAAAGTACTCCTCCTCCAAAGGAGAAACTCCAAAACGTTTCTTTCTTTCCCAACCACTCTCCCCACCCCCCTGCTCCTGTTTGAGTCGGAGCCGGCGCGGAGCGAACGCTTGGCTCCATTAGCGGCGACACCTGCCACTCTGCAGAGATCAAACCGAGCGGGGGGCCCTCTTGAGTCTCAAGAGAGCAGGTGGAAAAGGACTCGAGTGTGTTTAGGGCGCATTCCACCGTTACAGCAGTGGAGCATCTCTTTGAGGT